TGTAAATATATGCATCTAAGGTCTTTATTTTTTTATCTATGATTTTTTGTAGTGTGTTTTTTTTTCTTTTTCATCATTATTCATGTTTCTTATTATGGGATTAAATGAGCATTTTTTCTTTATTCTGAAAGATTAATGATGTTCGCGAACACAACTCACACACAACACATACACAAAGATTCGAACCCAAGACCCTGGGGCGGAACCAGATAGTTCTTAGGGGGGGAAATTGCCCCCCTCAAAAAAAAATTTTTTATATAAGTAAAAATAATAAAAAAAATTTATAGGAGAGTAAAAAAATTTTTTTTGCCCCTCATAAAAAACTCTTTTGTCCTAACTTGCCCTAATATATATATATATATTTCTTCATATTTAGTTATAATATTATTTTTCATGCTTTTCATGACAGTATAATTACACCTTTTTTTCTTTATTTTTCTTGCGTAATTTTTTTAAAAAAACTTTTCGTAATATATAGATATATAATATTATTTTTTTAATATTTAATTATTTTTGTGTTGTATTTGCCCCCCTCAAAATTAAAGCTGGTTCCGCCCCTGCCAATACCTCTTAGTTGGAAGCCTAAATTCTCAACCAACATTCTATGGTGAGATGTGTAACAACTAAACTTTTAAAATACATTTAAGATATGTTTGGTTGCCTCAAAAAGGATTTTAGTATAAAAGGAGCGTGGGGTAAAAGGGATATTTTGGAGTTGTTTGGATGAATGTAAAGTGAAAGCATGACTTTAACTTCTTTTTTTGGGTAAAATTTGGGCTTGACCCGTATATTAAATAACGAGAGAGAAATTACAAGTAACTAAACTCCAAAATCTCCAAAAAATTATCTCCCAGAAGAGGAGAGCACACCCGGCCCGGAGCCAACAATGCACAGAAAAAAAAGTGTAAAAGAAGCCAAAAAGAAAAATAGAAGCCCAAAAATAAAAGCTCCCAAATCAAAAATTAGTCTGGACTCATGAATAAAGATTGCTAATCATCCAGTCAAAGAAAGAAATCCCTTGGTTGCCCGAAGACCGTCCAAGGGGAGCCTGCAAAGGGAGCTTCATCATTGTCCAAGGCTATATCGTAGGCAACAGCAGGCAGCAAGTCGATAATCCCAAACCAACCGAATCAGAACCATGAAGAACAGCACCATCCAGAAAACAAGAAAACCAAGCCCATTCAAAAAAATTCCATCACAAAATTAGCAGATTTCCATGTAAGCACATTCTCAAAAATAGATTTTTTGATGGCAATAACAGTAGTAGCACAGCAGCTAATCGAATTGCCAAATCTCCTATTATTCCTCTCTTTCCAAATGTAGTAAATCGAGCCACAAGTAAATAGATGATAAAGATTTTTCACATGAGACCTCACTTCCAATTCCTCATTTATCCACTCACCAAGTTGCAGAATAGTAGGCCTTAATAGAAGCCTCATGACAGGAGGCATGAGATCAGATATAACAACATAAGAGTAAGAGCATTCGAAAAAAGGTGAGAAATAGTTTCTGGAAAAACGTGACAGAAAATGCAGAGAGGTGGAACGTGAATGTTCCTGAGGTGCAAAGCGTCAGCCGTTTTCATGCCACCAACCACAGCGAGCCAAGGATAACAAGAATATCTCAAGACATGTTTAGGATGCCAAACCAGTTTATCCCAAGTGCACTTCGAAAATTGAGAATAAAACTCACTAATATAATGCTTAAATTTGCTGTTAGGAATCTCTACCCATAATAAACAGGGATTGAAGCTTTTATGAATATTAATAGCAAGTATTTGGTTCCGAAGAGAAAGGGGCACAAAATCTGGCAGAGACCAAGCCATACTCGAAATAAGAACCTTAAGAGGAGTTTTTGGATGAGTGGCATTAAGTAGAGGGAGACCATCAGAGGAATTAGCAATCTTGTCAGAGTGAAACCAGTGATCCCAATGCAAGGAGATAGGGGCAAGAGAGTTAACTTTGAAGATAAAGTAATTCTTAGCAAAAAGTGCAGTCTTACACACATAATTCCATAAATTGGAAGCACCCAACGGAGCAGGACACCAAGGAGAGGTGTACCAACTGAACAACCACTCGGATAAAGGGGATTTGGCATTATAAATCATGAGAATAAAGGAACAATTAAAGCCAATTTGAATAGCATAAATGGAGGGAAGCCCGAGCCCTCCACAATCTTTAGGGATACAAACTTTATCCCAATATATCATATGTATTTTTCTGACAACAGCATGATCTCAAAAAAAAAAAAAAAGAAAGAAACTTAGAGTAAGATCCTTAAAGAATTTAAGCACAGTTTTTGGTAAAATAGATTCCTGAATCCAGTAAGCTATAGAATTCAAAATAGTATATCTCATGAATTGCAAATGACCCGCAAATGAAAGTAGGTTAGCTTTCCTTCCAGATAATTTCTTTGTAGTAATATCCACAAGGGGCATAAAATCAACAATTTTAAGTCTGTTAAAAGACAGAGGAATGCCCAGATACACTATTTTAGAGCTAATAGTATTGATGGATAAAGCTTGGCAAATAGCAACCGAATTTGAAATATTTCTTGGAAGCATAAGTATGCTCTTATCATAATTCACATGAAGCCCCGAGGCATTGGAGAAGGAGTAGAGGATGGTAGTTAATTTGTTATAGTTTTCAATCGAAGCTTCCCCAAATATAAGAACATCATCTGCGTAGAGGAGATGAGTAATAGTGAAACCATCCAAAGTAATTTCTTTAAATTCCCCAGCATCCAAAAGGGAGGATAATGCATCCATGACCAAATAGAAGAGGTATGGGCTAAGAGGGCAACCTTGCCTTAATCCAGCAGATGTAGGAAAATAGCCTTGGAGAGCACCATTAATCACTAATGAGAAGTCAACATCAGTAATACTAGTTTTAATCCAATTCACCACAATGTTAGGAAAACCTTTCTGAATCAGTCTAGCAAGTAAGAATTCCCTAGATACAGTATCAAAAGCTTTGTGAATACCAAGTTTAACACAAAAAAAACTTTGGACCACCTCTATTGCGATCTAGAAAGAGAAGCTCATTAGCAAGTAAGATATTATCCGTGGAAACCCTAGCTTTAATAAAGCCAGACTGATTTTCTTTAACAAGCATAGGCATGATAGGCTTTAGCCTATTAGCAATAACCTTAGCAATAATTTTGTAGAAAGTGTTACACAAGGCAATAGGTCTAAAATCAGTCAAAGTCTCAACATTTTTATGCTTAGGGATAAGGGCAAGAGCTGTAGCTCTAATTCCACTAGGAAGATAGCCCTTAGAGAAGGAGTGAACAGCTTTAGTAATAGTAGGGCCAATAATGTGCCACCCCGTTCTATAAAAATGGAAAATTGAATCCGTCTGGACCAGGGGAGGAGGTAGCACATCCATTAAAAACCACCTTTTTAATTTTCGCCTCAGAAACAATTTGAGTAAGAAGAGAAATATAGGCAACTGGGAGCCTAGCCCCAGTTGGAAATAAACCAATGTCCAACAGGGAAGGGAGAAGGATTATAGATAGCTTGAAAATGTTGAATAATGAAGGAAATCATATCATTACTGTCAGAAGAAGTAGAGGTGGCCAACAGGTTAACCGCAGTTTTATTGCTGCACTGTCTTCTCCTAATTTTAGTATAAAGAAACTTCAGATCATCCTCCCCATGCTTAAGCCAGTTAACTTTCGCTCGTTGAATAACCCACGAAGCCAAAAAGATGAGAAAATTCAGCAATCTTGTGGTTGATATCTTTCAAAGAAGCATTCAAAGAGATGTTAGTTTGGTTTAAAGTGTAGTAAAATCAATGTAAAATATAAAAAAGTTATGTTAGAGGTGGTTGGCAGTTGACGTTGGAGCCGACGTTGGTGGTGGCAGAGGTGGTTGGCAGTGGCGGTGGTTTGCGACTATGGGCCGAGGTGGTGGTAGTCAACAGTGGCCAATGGTGGTGGTCAGTTGGCAGTGGCGGCAGTGTTGGTGATAAGGTGGTGGTCGTTGATGGCCGGTGGCCGACGGTCGGAGGTAAGCGGTGGACTGTGGTGGTGGAACTTTTATTTGGTTCGGTGAACGTACGCTCCTCTACGTTCGGCCACCAACGTTTTAGCGCCACGTAGCACGAAGAAAAGTCACCGACCCGACCCGCTGTTTTTTGGGTTCTAGCGCGTGCGTTTTTTTAATTCCTTGACGAGCCGAACAATATCCCATCACCTTTTGGATATATTTCAAATATCTAGCAAATACCGAGTTGTACCTAGTTTTTTCTAGCAATACCGAGCAAATCCTGAGCAAATACTGAGTTGTACCGAGTTGTACCTAGTTTTTTCTAGCAATACCGAGCAAATACCTAGCAATACCGAGCAAATCCGTAGCATTACCGAGCAAATCCTGAGCAAATACCGAGTTGTAGAAAAACTCGGTACAACTCGGTATTTGTATAGTTTTGGTCTTCACAGAGCGGTATTTCTCGTTTTTGCAAAGCAATACCGAGAAAATCGCGAACATAGCATTCCTGGGTTCCGCTCCGGGTCAAGTCGTCGGGCCGCGCGGTAAAGAGTAAGAGCACGTGGCGACATGTTATTGGCAGCCGAACGTACCTCTACGTCAGGTCAGAGGACGTAATAATTGTTCGTGGTGGTGACGACCGACAGAGGGGCGATGGTGGAGACGGTGGGCATCAATAGTGGTCAAGCATGCTTTCGAGCAATGTAAACACTGCTTGCTCAAAATTGGTTGAAAATGTTTTACTTCAAAAACAAATTAGAATGAAATAAGCTACATTTATTTTACTTTTTCTTGAATTTATTTTTCATCAAATCTAGCAGTAAACTTTTTAAAACTGCTGCTGACTTATTCATTTTATTTTTTTTTCTCGAATTTATTTTTTCATCTAAGCAAATCGCTGCTTACTTTAACTACTTCTAACCAAAATAGCCCATTTTTTAATTACTATGTATTTTGTAAAATGTGTTTAATTTAGAATTATTAAAAAATGCCCCTTCGTCTCCTTCAAAGGCTTTTTATCTATTGGCTTGACGGTCGCGAAAGCTTCAGCGCGATTCTGCGAGCTTCATCTGAGCGGAAAAATCCACGCGTTCATCATTTTTCCTTCTACAATGGCAGCAACGGAGAAGAGTCAGAGAGAGCAAAAAATTCGGTCGCTATTCGACCTTCCTTCCGATTTCTTCGATTCCTGCCGCCTCCTCCTCTTCGACCATCCTTTCATTACCCCCACCGACGAGGCTTCGTCATCTCATCGGCCTACGTCGAGCGCTGCAGTCGCGAGCGCAGATAGCGTGGCAGTGGGAGAGGAATCTCACTTAAAGGGAGCCGAAGAGAAGGTGAATGGGGCTACCCAACGATGGACTTGTAACACCTGCAAGTCGGAGTTTGAATCCCTCCAGGATCAGCGATCGCATTTCAAATCTGACTTCCACCGACTTAATGTAAGGTTTCCCGTCCTCAATCCAGTACCTGCTGAAGGAATTAGGAATTCTATTTCTATGGACTTCGAATACATCCCTTTATAAGGTCATTTACATGACTAATAAAGGTTTTGAGAGTTTTCTTCCCCTAACTTGTCTCGTGGTTTCATATCAATAGGCAACGGGGTGGTAGAAATTATATATAAGTGATTTAAAAACAGAAGAAGGATGGAAATAGACAGATTAGAAAGATGAATAGTGATTCTTCAAACTGTTAATGTTGATTTTTTAATATATCATTGGTGCAACCAAAAAACAAAACTAAGATTGCAAAAAAAAGAGTCTTCCTTTAATATAAATATGACAAACATAAATCATAAAACCAGCACCTTGATTGCATCAATCATGCTGCCGAATCCTCAAGGTAAAAATTTTAACTCAAAAATATTTCTTTCAACACATCTGAATTACTTGACTTCCTTTCTTCAAATGCAAAATTACTCTTAAACAGATAAGAGAAATACTAAATCGGTCTTAAATGTAAAAACTACCATTTATAAATATGACAAACATAAATCATAAAACCAGCACCTTGATTGCATCAATCATGCTGCCGAATCCTCAAGGTAAAAATTTTAACTCAAAAATATTTCTTTCAAGACATCTGAATTACTTGACTTCCTTTCTTCAAATGCAAAATTACTCTTAAACAGATAAGGGAAATACTAAATCGGTCTTAAATGTAAAAACTACCATTGAGAAATGAAGTGCTAATGAAGGAAGAAGTGAAGAGCTTTTGTAGTATTTTTAAACTAGCGAGATCCATCCTATCAAAAATTCAACTTAAATAAGAAGAAAAATTTAATGAAAATCAATTTAGTTGTATTTCCATCTTGAGGAAAAGAAGATGAATAAGAACTTTCTAATGGGAGGCATGGAGGAGATGAACCTCTTTATCTACAATAATGTTAGTAGAAGATCATCATCATCATCAGCTCTATCTCAATTGTTTTTTGATGGCGTTATGCATCATTATTTTCATTTATTTATATTAAGTATTATTTGAGTTGATAAATTTTTTTTTTCAAATCATTTTGAAATACTTATATGAGTTATATCCATATAATCTTAGGCCTACGACTTTTCCTTTCTAATATTCTAACTATTATTTTATCAACATAGCTAATAGATGCATTTTCTATCATGTATTGTACATGTTCGAATCACCTAAGTTTATTTTCAATCATTTTATCTTCAATAGATATCTCTTCAATCTTTTCTTTAATATAATTATTCATTAATTTATCTTTTCTAATATTTCACACGTGCATCTTAACATGTTCATTTATACCATACTAAACTAATATATAAATTACTTTTTTTCAACCCTATATTTTGATCCATACAATATTATCAACCTAATTATGATTTTATAAAATTTAACTTTAAGCTTCCATGATATCATTCTATCACATAAAACCCCTGATGCACTTATCCATTTTAACCATCTTGCCTTAATTTATGTTTTCTAATTTTTTCACACATCTATCTTAATATTTTCATTTCTACCATACTAAACAAGATATAAATTACTTTCTTACAGCCCTATATTTTGATCCATTCAACATTACTAACCCAATTATGATTTTATTAAATTTAACTTTAAGCCTTCATGATATCTTTCTATCACATAAATTTCATGATGCAATTATCCATTTTAACCATCTTGCCTTAACTTTAGAAGTTATATGCTCATCTATATTTCCATTAGTTTAGGTAATAAATCTGATATATTTAAATTTATCACTCTCATTTATCATTTTATCTTCTAATAATATTTAATAATAATTGTTGACATAGTGCCAATTAAAATTTCATATCATATTCTTAATAGATGTACAACTTATTTTTTGGCTTCTATATTTTGAACATTTTCTTAATCATCTTAATTTATCATTGATTTTAGTGATGTATCATCAATTAGTACTATATCATCTACAAAAACATACGCCAAAACACTCTTTTGAACAATCTTTGTAAGTATCTCCATAACCAATACAAAAAATGGATTCTATGGTGATTCTTGATGTAAATTTTCAATTATTAGAAACTCTTGGGGCACACCACAACTACTACTACTAGTCGATGCTCCATGATACATTTTTTTAATAATGTCAGCATATCTTTAAAACACTCTCTTTTTTACTTAAAGAATACCATATCAATTCCCATGGTACATGACTAGATGCCTTCTTAAGATCAATGAAAATCATATAAAGATACTTTTTTTTGTTTCTTTATAAATTTCTATTAAATTTCTTAACAAAAAAATTGCTCTTATAGGGGATTTACTAGCATGAAATCAAATTGGTTCTTTAAAAATGTACTTTTTTAAGCTTATGTTCTATTATTTGGTCACATATTTTCATTGTATGACTCATAAGCTTGATTCCTCTTAAGTTTGTATAATCTTTAACATTAGTTTTGTTCTTAAATATTAATGCTAAATTGCTTATTCAATCATTTGATACCCTACAACAACAACAACAACATCAAGCCTTTATCCCACTACGTGGGGTTAGCTACATGAATCCTTTTTCTCTATTGTGTCCTGTTAAGAGTCAAATTCTCATTTAAATCTAATAAAGAAAGGTCATTTATAACATTTTCTAACCAAGTCTTTTTAGGTCTATCGATACCTTTCTTAACATAGGCAAATCTTATACATATACTCTTCTAATAGGGTCATTAGAAAGCTGTCATTTTACATGACCAAATCATATAAGGTGACTCTCTCTAATATTATTTGTCGCTGGAGCTACTCCAACCTTTTCACGGATAGGCTCGTTTCGTATCCTATCTCTAAGAGTAAATCTGTTCATCCACTTGAGCATCCTGATCTCAACAAAACTTAACTTAATATTATGCACTCTTTTAATGGCCAACATTCTGCGCCATAAAGCATTACAGGCCTCACCACCATCTTTTAAAATTTTCCCTCAAGTTGGAGTGGTACTTTTCTTTTATACAACAAAATGGATGCATTCCTCCACTTCAACCATCTAACTTGAATTCTACTAATAATATCCCCATCTATTTCACCATCACTTTAAACAATAGACCCAAGATATATAAAACGAGTATACTTATTAATGGCTTGATCGCTCAAAGTCACAAACGCACCACTAGATCTATTACTACTAAAATTATATTATATGTATTCGGTTTTAGATCTACTCAAATGAAAACCTTTATACTCTAAGGTTGACCTCCATAATTCGAGTTTATCTTCAACTTCCTCTCTAGTCTTATCAATAAGAGGAATATCATTAGCAAAAAGCATACACTAGGGGTACATCCTTTTGAAAATGTCTAGTAAAAATATCTATGGCTAAAGCAAAAAGATAAGGGCTTAAGGGTGATCCTTGATGTAATCCAACTGAAATAGGAAAATACTTGGTCAAACCACCTTGTGTTTTAACACAAGTAACATCTCCTGCATAAATATCCCTAATGACTTGAATATAAGCACTATTAACCCCTTTCTTTTCTAGAACTCTCAGTTATTCCCCGTCATGCGTTATAGGTGCTGTGCTAGGGTTTTCGTCCCGATCGGAGCTCCGTTCTCCGCTGCCCTTTTCGTGGCCAATTTGGTGGTTCTTCTCCTCTCAGGGAAGTTCTGATTTCTACCTTTCTGATTTCTTAATCTTTTTTTTGCGTTTTCTTTCGGCTGGTTTCTCCCTGTCGTTTTTGTCGATGACGCGCAAGTGCTTGGTTGTTCATGGTTTTTTGGTCGGCAAATCTTCTTCAAAGTCTTTCCGTGATGCTTTATCTAATGGTTCTTCCCCCTCTCTTTTCCCGGATCTCAAAATAGCTTCTTTTCGTGGGTTGTCCTCGCTGTGGATTTCAGAAGCTGAAATTTTAGCGTTAGCGGCTCCTTTTGAGTTTGCTTTGGTAGGCAAATTCCCTTCGCACAAACCATCGCTTGAGGGCATTCAAGTTTTTTTTTAACCTTAATCTCAATGGCTAGTTTTCTGTTACTGTTCTTAATCCCAGACATATGTTAATCAAACTTGTTAATAACCTAGACTACTGTCGTGTGTTTGTTCACCGCTCGTATTTTGTCAATAATTGTTACATGAAGATCTTTAAATGGACGCCAATCTTTGATGTGGAGATTGAATCACCCATTATTCCTATATGGATTTCTTTCCCTAACCTTCAACCCCATCTCTTCTCCCCATGGATTTTGCATGGTTTAGGTTCTATGTTTGGTCGGCCTCTTAAGATTGATCACGCTATGTCGTCTGGCTCTAGGCCTTCAGTGGCTCGTGTATTGGTTGAGCTGGATGTTACGAAATCCTATCATGATCGGGTGTGGGTTGGTTTGGAAACTTTAGGGTATATACAACCGGTTGTGATGGAGGATTTTCCCTGTTATTGCTCACATTGCAAGTCTTTGGGGCACTCTAAATCTGAATGCAAAGTCCTTCATCCCCATTTAGCTTAAGCTTATTCTGTTTTGAATAAAGCTGTTGAACCTATTTTAAATAATGTTAATCTTATGGATGGCCATGTTGATGGCATTTAGCCTTTGGCTTGTGGGGTGGTGCCTGAACCTGTTTTGAATAATGTTGATTTTGTGGATGCCCTTGTTGTTAGCATTCAACCTTTGGATTGTGTGGTAGTGCCCGTGGATGCGGATGAAGTTCCAGCAGCGGTGGATTCTTTGGTTTCTCCTTTGGAGGTCTCGGTGGAGGATCATGCTCCTGCCGTTTGCTCCCAGATTTATGCTGATGCTATTGTGTTGGAGGGAGCTCTTGAGTTTTTGGTGGATAATGTTGAGGGTCAATGTGGAGTTAATATGGTTGTGGATAATAGATCCGCTATTTTTGGGTGGGTCTACTGATGCTCCTCCTGTAACTGTTTCGGGTACATTTATGGGGGCTCTTACGTCTGCTCAATTTGTTGATGTGCTGGTGGCACTTATTTCCAATGTTGCTTTGCAAGCTCAATTGGGCAAGTTTAGAGACTGCTCTGTGGATCATTCAAATTGGTTGAATGTTTCCTCTATTAGCACGGATGGGGATCGAGCTGTCTTTGCTGATTCGTCCGGGGGTCTTCGTGAAGCTTATAAGTTGCAGGAGGATCCTCTTATGGGAAATAATTTTTCATTGGTTGGAGGAAATCGTCGTCACAGGAAATCCAAATAAGGTTCCTTTTGTTTGGATGTTGTGGCTGATTGGTTGCACATTTCTTTAGATTTGGATTTGCGATTCATTTTTGTTGGCTTAGTTGGTGGGGCTGAGATTTTTAGCACGGGCAATGATGAGGCAAACCTACTTTTCATTTGATCGTATGGCTTGTTGGCAACCACTGCTGGCGGGTTCTTGCTGCTCTTCGTATGTGATTCGGATGTTTGATTTTTTTGGCTTGTTACTTGCCCTTTGGAGGGTTCGGGTCTAACGTTTGGATGATTGCAGTGTTTCGCCAATACATGAGCCCAAATTCAGTCATTCCCCTTTTATTTTGGTGTTTGTTCCACTGTAGTTTCTTCTTTCCTTTTGCTGATGATCGCGTAATCCTCTTTAGATGGTTGTATCTTTATCTTTTCTTGAAGAGGTATCTTTTGAATTAATTCTTTTAAGTCATTGCAAAATTTAATTTAAAACACATATCCAAACCTACTTGAGGAGCATAAGCGTTGGGGATGATGATGAGGAGTAAACATCACAATGACGAAACAAACAAGAAAGGAAAAACAACATAAAAGTAATGGACACCAGGATTTAAGGTGGATAAATCCAAAATAGGGAAAAAAAACCACGGAGCCACACCACACCAAGAAACTATGAAAATTGAAAGAAATAAAAGTACATATCTCTCTTCTCTCTCACTCTCTCCTTTCTTCTCTTTTCACATGCACCCTTTTTTATGTCTATACACTCAAAATACAAGAAAAAGCGTAAAATAACCCCAAGGGATGCAACCCTTCAGAGAGATCAATGCCAAGCCTTTAAATAGGAAATTACTACAAGGATATATCTAATCCCTGTCTAAATAAACTCCACCAAAAAGGGAAACCTTATATATAATAACTACTTAGGTAAGCTCAACTTCGAAAGATAATTCCAGGAGGAATTATGCTTATTGTTGATCACCTACTAGATTTTTCCACATATCATAATAAAAACAAATATTGCACGAAACAGATGCAACACAATCATAATTTGATGTAAATATAGGCATAAACAATTATTATTATTATTTATTTATACCAAATTGATGTAGAATAAATAATGGGATAGTAGAATTTTTTAGAGTCGATTAATAAATGGAAGAAAAAGTAAAGAAAGATTGACAAAAAGACAGAGGATCGTAAGAAAAATAAAAAATGATTCCTCAAGCTATTGTTGTTTTGTCAAAATATCATGTTATTGAATCTTCAAAGCAAGGTGCTAGATCCTTAAAGCAAAAAAAAGATCAAATCCTTAGGCATCCATGTATGGCTAAAATCTCATTAACCACAACTCAAAATATTTTGTTGATCATTATCTAAATTACATGACTTACTACGGAATTTATAACTATAGACCTTATCTAAATTACATGACTTAGAGAACAAAAGATAAAATAATATTAAACACAATATATTAGCAAGATGAGCTCAGTCAATCACATTAAGAGCAATAATAACCATCGTATGGATGCACCAAAGTCTCTTAATATTCTCTGCATTTTCCTTTTTTTTAAATAATGTATTATTTAATGCTTCTCTTATGGCTAGTTACTTTGATTTTCTTTCATTTATTCTTAGATTAAGCTGATTGTTGCTGGTAAGAATATTGTCAACGAGGAAGAATTGGATCAACATGGCTGTGATTCTTCCTTTGAAGATTTCGATGTATCTAGTATTTCGGGATCTGAAGATGATTTTGAAAAAAGTGCAATTACATTAGTCAAATCAAGGGAAGGAGTTAAACAGAGATTGTATATCCGCCTCCACTCAGGGAAAATAGTTTCTGTATGGAGAAATTTGATTTTGGATGAGTCTGAGGATTTTTCTCTGGATGATTACAAGATGGATCAAATGAGAAATGATGGAAGTGCATTAATTTTAGGGGAGGATGAGCTGACCAATAGGTTGAAAAATTTACTTTCTGAACCTCGGGATAAATCCCACCTGAGGATTGTTTTGCTTTTGAGTGGTGGGCATTTTGCGGGGTGTGTATTTGATGGGAATTCAATTATCGCACATAAGACTTTCCATAGGTAAGTTAAACAAATTTCTTTTTTTTTTAATATTTTGTTATGTTCTTGGATAACTATTGATGAACATATGTTACATCATGCTCTCTAAATATCTGCCATATTTAATAGTTCCATGATTCTTCTTTCAAACTGATATTTTGCTTCTCATGCATTGAGCCTGATTGAATATTGATACTCAAGTCCTTTTGCAAGTATATATTTGATTGTAGGAGCGAAAGCTGTTCTTAAAGCTATGTAAATTAACAAAGTCATAAACCGTTAAACATGTCCGGTCCGCTCAACATATGGATTTTACCAGCTTGCTTGACCATGCGTGCTTTAAGTGGAGGGAGGTATCTTTTGACTAAAAGCATGTCCATATGAGTTGTATTCATTTCTTTTTTGTTCTCTTCAAGAGTCATCCTCATCATCAAACTTTATTCCTACTAATTGGGATTGGCTTCTCCTAAAGAGTCGCTGGAAAAATATAGGCAAATAATGCACAGAAAGCTTGCCATGTATAGACTATAGAAGACAAATTTTATTGTGCAGTGTGCATTATGAGATTCTTGATAAACAATAATCCAGAATCATTTTCTCATGCATTTATTGATGGAGAGACTCAAGAAGCTAAGATGCATATATTAAATTCTTTCATACTTCTTCCAATTTTGTATCTTCAATGTACTTGCAAAGTAGTATATAATTACATATTCAAATCCATGGTGCAAATTTGTTATCCTTAATTAGTGTTTAGATGCCAAGGAATTATTTCAGCACAAGTTGATCTCAAGAAACAAACCATAAATGTAAAATAATCGGAAGGGAATTAAAATAAATATTAAAATCCTTACAACTAATTCTAAGAAGAGGCAAGTAATCCAGGAGGACTATTGAGCTCACCAATCAGTTGTGTATGATAATAGGACCTAATCATATAGTAATTTTCCACATCTTCTTTCCTTTTTTTTTTGTTTTCAAGTGTGCATTTTGCATTACCATATAAAAAAAAACCAAAAGTTACAACTAAGCATTTCTAATTCTATCTCTATCTTCTTTCAGTAAAAAAAAAAAAAATCAGAAGACCGGATTTCATTATATTTTAAAGCAAAATGAGGACCAAAGAACCAGCTGCTCACTTTTAGGCACAAAATTACATTTTTTTATTTTTTCATATTTGTCCTAAATGAACAAGGCTGCATAACCATATCAAAAAAGTTGCAAACGGCTGCATTGTGTTAGACCGGTTCTCTGTGAACCGGTCCAGAACCAGCGGCATAACCAGCCGCTGATTTATAGGAGGCGGAGACCTCCGCCTCCTTTAAACTGAAATTGCTTAATATGGGTGGGCCCCACTTCTCCAAAGGTTTTGAATGTTCAAACGGAGTGGGGAGATGGGTTTTGGGAGGGAAATTAAATTAGGAAATATCTTGTATTAAAGGGGATGAGAGAATTAGGGAGTTTTTTCATGTTATGTTTGATTGCAATTAGGGTTTTCTTGGAGGCTTGGGCTCTAGAACGAATTCTAGAGATTGGGAGAGTGCGATCCTCCTCTCGAATAGAGGATCTTTGTATCTTTGCAAGTTTTCTTTCATCTACTAGTAAAGTACAAGTGTTTGGGCGAGTTTTTCTCCATTTTCCTCTCAGGTTTTCTCTGTTTTGGTCCAGATTTTACTGTTTTCCTGCTGTAAACAGCAGAAGTTATCACGATTTGCTTCAGACTTTGACTAGGAACTACTTGAAATCAAGTATTTCCTATCACATTACCATATTAGAAAGTCAACAAGGCTGCATTATCATACCAAGAAAGACCAAAAGTTAAAACTAAGCATTTCTAATTCTCATTTAAATCTAATTACATTTTATAAACTCATGATACCAATTATAAGCAAGTCATTTGTTTGAATTTCATATATTTTCTCATATTTTGAATTTAGAGTTTTTGGGGGTTGAAGTTTCCCAAAAGAACATTTTTCTTAATGTTAATTATATATATATTTTTTGAAAGTGTAATGTTAATCAGGTCCTGGGTGATGCACAAGAAAACTCTTAAATTAGGTATCTTGCTTGCATTTTACTTGTGGTTATTCAACAATGATTGATGATTTCTAGTCAAAGTCTATGAATACTAAAGCATAGTAAGGTAGGCATTCCTTGATGTAAGTGAGGATAAAGAAATTCAAAAGCATGTTAAGGCTGATGATGTGCGGTGAATGCTTTTATAATGTGGTGAAGGATATGGGTAAGCTCTTAGGGTAAGAGAGATACACTTATAGGATTTTGATCAAAGAATACTAAGCCCTAAAAATGAAAAATCCTTCTTCTTATCATAAGCTTTTAATTTTAATTTTTAAAAATATGAATCCTGCATATGGACACTCGAGGGAATGAAAGCCAAGGAAAATAACTTTAATGATGACAGGACTTATATTCTGGAGCAACATACTAGTTTGGATCATCGGAAAAGCCCAGAATTTCATCAGGGAATGAAGACTACAAACCATAAGACTGCAAAAGAGAGTAGGACAATGATAGATGACCTTAGGGGATGCTGTCCAAAGGAAAGGAGAACTGTTCTGAGGAAGAACTAAAGAAGTCTATCTTAGAGAAGAAAGATTTATCCTAGAAAGGAAAAACTAATACTAAGGAAAATGTTTGATCCTAAGAAAGAGGATGGATGTCCTAAAATAACTATCATAAAAGGGATCTATCCTAGAGAAGCAAAATTCAACTTAGAACAGTCTCATATATAAGGATAGGGAGACTTACCTAAGGGATAAGATGGCAGCCCCATTCAAGATTTCATGATTGTCCATCATCTTGGGTCGTCATAGCTGATCAAAATTTTCTAACTGTGATAATCCTTGTCAGCAATCATGAGATGCATCATCCAAGAAAGCTTTGTAGACTTGGAGGTGTAAGGAGGCCTATATCCTAGGGCTAACATAGGCTAACGTACAGGACTTCTACTTTACGAACACAATGGAGGCTCTAGGCCCTAAGCATTGGGAGTCTTCGAGATCGAAGAAGAATCCCGAGAGTTAGGACTTCCAACATAACCACACCACTGATTATGAGGCCCAAAATGTGGGCTTACATTCTACTTGGTTAGAAATGCCACTATTCAACTTAATCATATGTGTAAGGGATTAATCAAACTCAACTGGAAGAGATATATACACATCCTAGAGTTGGCTAGATGGAGAAAAGGCATGCATGTGAATTTTTTTGTGCCTGATTCATTTGTCCTAAAGTGAATCCTGGACTATATGCAAAACTTAGAAGGCCATGATGTGATATATGTATAAGCACGGTTGGAAGCTAACATGTCATCAATTTATATCCAACAAGATGAACTAAATGTTCAATCATTTCTCTTACTAGAAATATACGCCAGCTGTGTGTTCATTCTATTTTAAATGGATTTGGCCGGTAAGTGAGTGATGTGCGATCCTAGGACTCTTAGTTATCATCACAAGTAATCCATACAATATCAATCACATAGCATCACAAAATAGTTAATATAAAATAATATAAGAATATAAATTAGTAAAAGACAAGTAAAAAGAAAATATAAACATCTAATCACCTATCGTTCTAAGGTCTATTATCCTAGCATCTCCTGCAAAGCAGATGTTAGTAAACAACATAATAAAATCATAGCTTTGATCACATCACATTGCAGCATAGCTACAAACTTATATTATTACAATTATTACATTATGATAATAAATATGTATATATGGCATGTGTATATGTATACAGGTATATAGTCAAAAGGTTCCTAAAATCAAAAAAATTGTAATAAAGCATAATTAGATTTAGAAAATTAATATCATTAAACCAAAATTGATTTTTTTGGAGGCATACATACATGAAAAGATATATGCTAATTAAAATGCTGTTAATTATAAAATTATAAAAATCAATGCTTAGCTGCAAAAAATTATGAATGCTTAATTGCGAAATAAATTATGTTACAAAATGAGAACACCATTTGTTATCGATATGATTATACTTAAGAGAGTTAAATGGATTTGACATGAACAACAGAGAGCTTAAGATGCATTATAAGACGTTAGGATGTAATAATATGAAAGGTATATGAAGGAAAAGGGGAGATTAAATGTAACTTTTAAGTTGTTCAACAATTTTTTTCCTTAAATTAGGTTCTGATACTACATGCAAAATTAAAGTGGAATGACTGGCAAGGAACACTTTATAGATTGACTCCCAAATAGTTGGGTAAAAGCCAATGGTTTTAGAAAGAAGATTATAAGGTTTAGAACTTTAGATTGCCACTTGTCATTTGGAAAAAAATTCTCTCTTTTTTTTCAATAAATTTTTTAGGTGCTAAATGCCCTTAAATTTAATTTTCATTCAGCATAGATGTCATTCTTATTCTTTATTTAAAGTATTTGTGTGAAATAATGCTTCTAGTCATGTTCTGTTCCATTAACTATACATTCTGCTTAGTATAATTGCCCTCATCAAATTGTAGATATGTTGTTAGAGCAAAGGCTGGCAAGAAACAGTCAACTAAAGATGCCGCAGGAAAAGCTGCACATTCTGCAGGTTCATCTCTACGCCGCCATAATGAAGCAGCACTGAAAAAGGTGACGGGCCATTTTACACATTTGGTTGAGTTCTTGTAAGTTTTGGGATATTTTGTAACGGTTAAGAAAGCTTATGGTATCTGAAATTTAAGTTTATCAAATATTTGCATGCGGCTTTGTGTTTTAAAGTCTTTTATAAGACTTATAGTTGGCAAGGTGCTCCTAGGTTTTCATCTGTTAGTGTGAAGGTCTAATTACTATCATCCTTTGTGTTTTTTATTTTAAATATGGAATAAGATGAATCTTGTGTCAACCATATGTAATAGCTGGATTATGAGGAGTCTATAAACAGTTATTATGCGGCATATAATTATCAACTTTGTCTTGAATTCAATTTATCTTTCTAGTTTCAATTTAATGACTGCAAGTCGAACTCTTATTTTTTTGAGCATGGTACAGATGCGACTAACTGTAGGGAAATCATCTCCTTTTACATGTGTGAGGTCTGCTTGTTCTTATTTAGATTTTTTTTTAATTTCTTGTTTTATTTCATCTACATGTTTTGATACTGACTTCTTAAGTACTCTTAATTTTAAAAAAAATTGACGTGATAAAAATTCAATCTGTGGAGATTAAATTTCATTATTTGCAGATTTTGTGTTTCCAATTCTTGTTGATTTTTCTTGGGCTATTTCGATATTTCATTATAGGATGGGTTATAATTCTAGTATTATCTTGTTTCCATTTAAAGAAAGCAAGTTGTTGAATTAATTAGTGATTTTTTATAATGGATTCTTAATTTTCTTTGTATGAAATCAAAATACGTATCATAACAATTGCATTGCTAAACTCTAAAATTGTGTCCCAGATTGTTAAGACCTCTGAGAGTATAAAATTTACTTGTAAATCAAATAGTTGAAAAAACATTTTGATATAACAATTTCAGAGAATTTGCCCTATATTAAGAAAATTAATCACCATTGATGTAGAATATTTTGCTATGATATCAAATCGATACATGGAGTATTAAAGCCAAAGAGCTTAAATGCACATATATGCAATGTAAATGGATGAGCCATTATTGAAAAATATTATTTGGCTTTTTACGATGAAAAATGTAATACCTGGCTTGCAAACATCATCGGAAAACAAGTCATCTAACTCAAATAGTTATTATTGACAAATTATACTTATGAATGATGTAAGTAACAAAGTGGAGTGAAAGGTAGCGATTGCACAAAGAAAACTGATATGCCTTTGAAGTGAACACATCAAAAGAAAGAAAAGAAAACTACATAAATAATCCAAATGATGACTGGTTTTGGATTATAACTTCAATATAAAAAATAAGATACAAGTGATTTATGATTAGAGAGGTAGATTGGATCTCCCAAACAGCCTAGATGCTGTTAGGAAGCCCTCATAGAAAAGACTGCAACAAAACTCTAATCAAAATGTAACATTAATACAAAATAACTAGCTCTAAATAAACTCTTCCTATTTCCCCCCAAAACAACCTTATTGATTTAATTAATTCCCTCCTTTATTTTGAATTCAAATTGACATTAAACAACGATTAATTCCTTCCTTATTCCTTCTCCGGACCGTACATATGGAATCATAGCTTTAGTGGGCTACACAAAGGGCGACGAAATCTCCCTGGATATGGCTCCAGGTTTCGCCCCCTTCTGATTCGGTTTCTGCTGGACCAGCCAATCTAGCAGCACCCCCCCCCCCGCGCGTGCACGCGCGCGCCTGTTGCCATATCAATACTTCCCTCCTCAAAATGCACCTTGCCCTTAAGGTGGAAGGATGAAAACGGTCTCTTGATCATCTTGTATGGCTCCAATATAGCTTCATACCCAGGTAGGTCCTTCCATCGAACTAGGACCTCCTTTGCTCCTATCGTCCCTTGCCGTGCCCCAACAATCTTCATGGGTTCCAGGATTTCTTCCATGTCCTCCATCAATGTCGTCGGTAGTGAGGAAGAGGGTGTGTGATCTCTGATAGTACACCTTGATTGTGATACATGGAATACTAGGTGAATTGTTGATGGTGATGGTAACTTCAGACAATAGGCTACTTCCCCAATGGGCTCCGTCACTTCATAAGGCTCAAAGTAGCGTGTGATAGCTTCTCATTCTTCCTCTTGGCTAGTGTCATTTGTCAGTATGGTCTCAATTTCAAATAAACTCTATCCCCGGGGTTCGAACTGTATTTCCCATCTATGTTCATTTACTTTTATCTTCATAATTGTTGAGCTCTCAACAGATTCCTTTTGAGTTATGCTAGTATTCTGTCTCTCTCCTCTAAGTACTGATCTACATTGGATACTAATGTAGTACTATGTCCGTAATGGAATGAGGTGGATGCCTACCATATAGAATCTTGAAAGGGATTGTTGGTGTGGCTGAGTGGAATGATGTGTTATACTAATACTTTGTCCACACTAACCATTTAGCCCATAATTTTGGTGTTTTAGATAAAAAACAACGCAAATATGTCTCCACGCTCTTATTGACTAGGTTTCGTTTGATCGACCGTCTGCTCCTTTTTAGGATCGTCCCTTGCATCTTAAATAGCTCCTTCCAAAAATGATTAAGAAACATCTTCTCTCTGTCTGATACTATAGATTCTGGAATGCCATATAAGCGCACTACCTCCCGAAGAAAGACTGCGGCGACTGAGAAGGCGGTGTAAGGTTGCTTCAGTGGAATGAAATAATAAATACTTTCTCAGTTGATCTACCACCAACAGTATTACCAAATATGCCTCCGAGCATGTCAAACCCTCTCCATTGTCACTTTTCCCATACCCTCTCAGGTAAAGCCAATGGTTGTAGTAACCCCCAGGTGCCATCGTTAAGTACACCATTGGCATACGTTACACTTTGCTACCAAATTTTCTACATGCATCCCCGCCATATATAACTTAGCTGATAGTTAATTAGCTATCTTTTGTACTCCTGAATGCCCCCTATCGCACTGCCATGAAACTCTTGCAGTAGCTTGGGAATGTAACATGAGGTACGGGGTAACACAAACCTCCCCTGGTAGAGTAATTATCCCCCCTTCAAAGTATAACCTAAGTTATTGTTTGTGTCTTTCAAGTTTCAACAACTCTTCCCTGATCTTCCTTAACCCTTCATCTTGCTCACTTTCCCGTCTCAATGCTTCCCATTCTACGATCACAGGTACTGACAAGGCTGCTAACTAGGGCTCCTCTATCCTCCCGGACAAGGCGTCCCAGCTTTGTTTTCTAAGCTTGGTCGGTACTGGATCTCAAAATTATACCCAAGCAACTTGGATAGTCATCTCTGAGGCTCCTCAGTGAACATCCACTGTTACAACAAATACTTCAGACTCCTATAATCTGTCCTAACTATGAAATATCTCCCTAATAGATAGGGCGGTCGCTTCTAAATAGCCAAGACAATTTTCATTAGCTCTTGCTCATACACAGACTTGAGCCTTGCCCTGGTTGAAATATGTAATTGGTCTTTGATCTTGCATGAGTATTGTTCCTGGCCCATAACCTGATAATCTGTCTCCACCCCAAATGGTCTCCCAAAATTTGGAAGCACCAATATTAGTACATTGATTATAGCTTTCTTTAGCTCATGGAAAGCTTTTGTCGCTTTTTCCCCTACTTGAAGTTATCCTTTTTCAATTGCTTTGTCAAGGGTCCTGCAATGATGCCATATTCCTTCACAAATTTTCAGTAGTAACCAGTGAGCCCTAAGAACCCTCACAACTCCTTCAAGTTCTTGGGAAGAGGCCAATCCACCATGACCTGAACCTTGAACTAGTCAGTTGACACCCCCTCTCTAGCCACAACATGTCCTAAATACACCACATGTGGTTGCTCAAACATGCACTTTTTCCAGTTGGCGAACAATTGATGCTCCCTCAAGGTCTCTAGCACTGTTTTCAAATATTCCCAGTGTTCTGTCTCCGTCCTGCTTTATATCAAGATATCATCAAAGAATACCAAGATAAACCTTCTGAGATGTGGTTGGAACACTCAGTTCATAAGAGATTGGAAGGCATCACCAGGAACTTGTAGTGCCTTTCATGTGTCCTAAAGGTTGCCTTGTGCACATCTGTTGCCTTCATCCTAATTTGATGATATCCCAACTTCAATTCAATCTTGGAAAAGATCACTGCTCTAAATAACTCATCCAAGAGCTCATCAATCACTGGAATGAGAAACTTATCTAGCATTGTTTTCTTGTTTAGATCCCTGGAATCCACACAGAACCTCCAACTGACGTCCTTCTATTTCTTTAGCAGAAGTGGACTAGAGAAAGGGCTCACACTAGGCCTAATGATCCTTGCTTCCATCATCTCCTTGATCAATCTTTGTATATTGTCTTTTTGAATATGGGGGTAACAATATAGTTTGGAACTTATAAGAGAGGCCCCCTCTTTTAGATTGATAGTGTGCTCATGCTCTCGTGGCGATGATAGCTCAATAGGTGGTTGAAATACATTAGGATATTGTTGCAAAATTTGTTGAACCCCCGCTGGAATTTCCCTTTCCTCTTGTTCCTGGATTCCTTCTATGCTATGTAACTCCACCAAGTACTCTAGGCCTGCACCCTTGATTGTCCTGAGCATGGTTTTAAGTGATACCATTATTTTGAATAAGCTATCATCCCCTCGAAGCAGTACCTTCTTCCCCTCTACCTGGACATCCATGGTCAAAAACTTTCTGTTCACCTTCATTTCCACCATGGTAGACCTGTCAATATTGGACCCGACCCGAAAACCCGACCCGAACCCGACCCGAAAATTTCGGGTTCGGGGTTGAACAGTGTCGGGTCAATTTCGGGTTGGACCCGAACCCGACCCGTGACCCGTTTTTGACAGGTCTACACCATGGTTTATAGCCTCTTCTTTCCCAGAATCATACTATGCACTTTCCAAGTCCAGGGGAAGGAAGTCTGCCACCACATGAATATCCTGCAAGGTCATCACCACCCTTTTATATATCCCCAGACTCCCCTCTATCTTACTTGTCCCCATCATCACCCTACATCCTTCAGTCTTCACCAACTTCAACCTCAATCAATCCATGATCTAATTTGAGATGAAGTTATGTGTAGCTCCATTGTCCACCAAAACTACCATAGTTGCTCCCCGATTTGGCCCCTCACTTTTATGGTGTGATTTGGAGTGAATCTCACCACGGAGTTCAAGGACACTTCTACCACTTCTAGATGCAACTGTTCTGTTTCCCCCACGATCTCCTTAGCTTATCCTTGCTTTCCTCTTCCTCCTCATAGACCCTCACGATATGAAGGGCACGATTCTTACACCTATGTCATGGTGTAAATCTCACATCACACCTGAAGCATAACCCTTTTGCTCGCATATTCTGCATCTCCTCTTCTATAAGGCGTTTGAAATTGCCTCCAGGATGAACTCAATGCTCTTCTCCTTCAACGCCTCCCTTTGAAATAACACTATCTGAGTCCTCGGTGCCAGGGTCATGGAGATATTTCTGTAAACACCCATGGTGTTGCTTCGGCTGGACTTCTCCCTCTGATGTTTATTTTCCTCTCTTTGTGCTAGTTCCATAGTCTCTCTTAGCCATCTAGGCCTCAACACCCTTATCTCTGCTCATATGCCTTCCTTAAGCCCCTTCGTGAAATTCCCTTCCAACCATTCCCTTAGAATACCCCCTCAGCCTACCTGACAACAACTCAAACTTCTCCCGATACTCTATGACTATCCCCTCCTGAGTTAAGGCATAGAATGGCTCGTGGAGGTCCCCTTCTTGAATTACTTGGGAACATTCAAACAAACAATCCTTAAATTCTCTCCATGAATAGATCGGATACCTAGCCTCCCTCCACTGAAACTAAGCTAGGGCTTTACTCTCTAAACATAGCCCACTGCTATGAGCTTTTCTTCTTCCGTCAGCCCATTGATAGCAAAGTAACGCTCCACCCGATACACCCAACTCTGAGTATCTTCCCCTTCAAAGACCGTCATTTTTAACTTTCTTGATCTCGCATCCATACCACAATGATTTCTCCCTCCATTAGTTCCTCCTGTGTAGTGATTGTGCATTTCTCTCCCTTCTTCCCTTGGTAGGTTTGAACCCCATGGCTCGACCCAATCATTTTCACCTCCGGTCCACCTTCCACCATGTCTGGGTGGTATCCCAAAGGGTTCGACCTCTCCCCTTATTGCTGCCCTTTCTTCGAAATACCCTAATCCATCTCCCATTGGAGCCCCACCATGATGGTCCATGAGGGTAAACACTCTCCACTTCATCTTCGTCCTCTTGAATTTCCTTTCCCTTTGGTTCAACCCTAGGAATCATCTGTGTGAGACTTTCGATTGCATTTCGATCATCTTCTTCATCATATCTTCCAAGTTCTTGAAGTGGTTCTTTATGGATGAGAGCATTCCTTCCTTAGTTGAGAACTTCCCCCTTCCATAATATTTCTCCTCCATTTCGGCCTGAGTTGCCCCATTTTGCCTTCCAATGCATCCATCTTCTTTGCTAACATTTACGTCGCTCTGATACCAATTTGATATGCATTTGAAGTGAAAACAACAAAATAAAGAAAAGAAAAAAAAAATAAAAAAAAAAACAAAATAAAGAAAAGAAAATTACATAAATACTCCAAACAATGGCTGATTTTGGATTATAATTTCAATAAAAAAAATAAGATACATGTGATCTACTATTAGAGAGGTAGATCGACTCTCCCAAACAACTTAGATGCTGCTAGGAAGCCCTCACAGAAAAGACTATAGCAAAACTCTAACTCAAATATAACCCTAATACAAAATAATGAGCTCTAAATAAACTCTTCATATTTTCCCCCAAAATAACCTTATTGCCTTAATTAATTCCCACCTTTATTTGAATTCAAATTGGCATTAAACAACAATTAATTACTTATTATTTATTCTTACATATGGAATCATAGCTTTGGTGGGCCCCACTAAGGGGGTCAAAATCTCCCTGGATCTGGCTCTAGGTTCTGCCCCCTCCTGTTTCGGTTCTTGCTGGATCGGCCGGTCTAGCCCCCCCTGCCTACTGTCGTATCAATACTATCCTTCTCAAAATGCACCTTTTCCTCTAGGTGGAAGGATGAAAACTGTCTCCTGATCATCTTGTATGACTCTTGTGTAGCTTCATACTTAGGTAATTCCTTCTATCGAACTAGGATAAGTACCATTAATCAAATAGCTTAAGCCATGGTTAATGTTCACACCTAGTTTAAGAACTTGATTCTTATTTCAATTTTTGATGTGGGGCCTATTCTCTACTTCTGTATGGGTGATTGTTTTTTAACAATCTACCTCACAAGAGTCCACATCAAGTATTATTCCTTCTCAAATGAAAGGTTTTAACGCTAACAATTTTCATGCTTTTTGAGCTCTCAATTTTATACTTCTCTTTTAATAGTCAACATTCAACGCCATAAAGCATTGCAGGTTTCACAATCATCTTATAGAATTTTTCCTTAATTTTGAGGTGTACTTTTCTATCACACGACAGGCCTGATGCATTCATTCACTTCAACCATCAACTTGAATTCTACCAATAATATCTCTATCTATTTTACCATTACTTTGAACAAAAAACCTGAGATATCTAAAACTTGTATTCTTTTTAATGACTTGATCACCTAAAGCCACAATCCTCCTACTAGATCTATTACAAAAACTACACTCCATGTATTTGGTTTTTAGGACAACTTGACTGATTGGTAGTAATTACTAGGTATTCCAGAGCTTTAGTTTAAATATGCTATTATATTATCTTCAATGATTATTCCATTTTGCTTGGCAACTGGATGTCATATTTTTTTCCCCAAAGTGAACTTTCTACTAAAACTAGGGATTTGTGATGTAGAACTATATGTGTAAGTGGAGATTTGCACAAAAGGATTTCAAGAGCAACTTTAGATTCTCGTTAAAGTGATTAAAACAACAATACAAAACAATTAAGTAGTTATTTCGCTTTGGCTAAACTACTCAAGAGACTAAGCTAGATCAAAACACATAAAAAAAATTAAGACGTTGCATGCGAAGTAGTTTCCAACTTAACCCTTGTTTAACAACGAGATCTAAAGCAAAGAAGTAACAAATCCTACGAATGCTAGTGGATGGCAATAAAGGGACACAATCTCTCGCTTTGAACAAATTCTCATGAAGAATTCGGAATTCAAAAGTAGAAGAATCAAGATAGAAAAGGGTATATAGAGAGAGAGAGAGAGAGAGAGAGAGAGAGAGAGAGAGAGAGAGAGAGAGAGAGATATGTTTTGCCAATCTGTTTGGTTGGTAGTCCCACTTTTTTTTCCAGATACTATTAGTGAAGTTTGTCAGACAATTGAATGAGATCTGTCCTCTGAACATTTTCTCAGATATAACTTCTCGGAACCAAGACAAATTCAAACTATATAAGTATTTGTATATTTTTTTCTGAAAGGCTTTTCATATCTATATCCATTTCTATGTGCAATGAAGTACTACAAATACTGTTAGAAAATGAGAGAGATCTGTTCTCGTAATAGTTACTAATTCTTAAAATGCAATATCTGTTCTCTTGATTATAAAGTGTTGTTCATATCACATATATTGTTGCATGAATCATTTATGAATGATTTCAATCAAACGCTACAACCATGTGTATCTTTTTTTATCAAAAGCTAATTCTTAGGCTATGCTTTACCAATCAAAATATACTCCTAACAACTCCATTTTGATGCAGGAAATTCAAGACCTACTACTTACTTGGAAACCATATATAAATTCTTCCTTGGTCATTTTCGTTTATGCTCCTTCAAGAAATCGTCAAATTCTTTTTGATGTGGAGAAGCAACACTGGCGTTTTCATGACCATGTTACTAGACAAATACCTTTGACAGTCCGGAGACCAACATTGAAGGAAGCCAAGCGCATCTATCTTTGTTTGACGCAGTTGTCCTATGAAGAAGTGGATGAGGACAGTCAACTGGAAGAGCCAAATTTACATACTGGTGATGAAGTAAAGAAAAATCAACCATTTCACGAGTCACGTGTAATCGAACACCTAGAACTTAAAATGTCATCTACAGTATTAGGCTCTCCTGTGGACTCAGCTGAGGAGCATATACCGAATGATTTTGCAAATATAAGTCTATCCCATTGTGAAAATAGATCAACCTCCTTGCACGTGGCGGCGCGTACCGGTAATGCACAATGGACACTTGAGCTTCTTGAACAAGGTTGCAGCCCTTGCTTAAAAGATGAAAGAGGTCGAACTCCTTACATGTTGGCAACAGAGAAGGAAGTTAGAAACACTTTTAGAAGATTTATGGCTGCCAACCTTGATAGATGGGATTGGCAAGCTGCTTACGTGCCCAGTCCATTGACAATAGAAATGGAGGAAGCGCAAGCAGCCAAGCAGGTTTGTTTCCTCAACTTCAGTAGCGAGTGTGAAGAATGTCCTATTCCAATTTTATTTAAGTTTTGGTGGGACAAACATCCTTCTTTTCAATCAAATATTAAAAACTAAACAGATGGAACGCAAAACCAGATAAATAGTCTATGAAGTTCTTGCGAGGGATCCAAGTGGACACTTGTTCAACCACCTAAAATTGCTTCAGCGTCCACATTCCAAGACAATAAAAATATCATTCATCACAGTGACCTGAATTGTTGCATGAGTATCCATTTAAAGATTAGTTATGAGTTATTAATAGACCATAATTATTTTAATTTGTTTTTTAGTTTGATTAGTAAAATAGAAGGGTGTGGTCTCAGCTCTCTAGTAAAACTTTTATGGTTGTCATTTACCTCTTTCTTTTTTTATACTTGAACCACCACAATAACCCTGCATCGCCAAACACAAACAGAGCGGAAAAAGGAAGATAATTTCTTTTTGCAAGTTGATTATCATTTTCAACCCATAGCTATTACTACGCATCAAGAGAAATGCATACGAAATTTCTTATCACTTTGTGAACTCCTGTAGAAAACATTGCTGAGTGAAAAATTATAACTAGTAGTGGCCTTTTACTATGATTTTAACTCTTCTTCTTTGACATGCAGGCAGAGAAGCATGCCAAGAGAAAAGCTAAAGCCAAGGAGTCAAAGAAATTGCGAAAGGAAAAAGAAAAAGCCAAGGTAATTTATTTTTCTTTTCGAGCAAGCTGTAATTTTTAGCGATTAGTAATGAATTAATGTCTTGTTGATGTTCGATATCCTAAGAACAAGATGGGCTGCATGGTTCTTATGAAAGTGACGCACAGGCCGTCATAATTCAATTTAATCTGAATCTTAGGCAAAGATTGTTAAAATTGTGTCGATGATATGATGAGATTGAAGTGAAGTATGTAATGAGACAATTACGTCACATATAACTTGATTCATTCGTCATTTATAAGGATAATGGAGAGGTGATAATTTCATTGAGTTCTCAGCTCATCAATATTAAAAGTCTGACTTTATGATTGTTATTTGTACCTGTAGGTTTTCTTAAGCGCATCATTTCTCTAAATCTTGTTTTGTTTTGAATTGACGATAAACTTTGATATTTGATGAATCACCATAAAAATTATATTGTATGCCAACTATGATAACTTACAATTAAATGTTATGATGTAGGATGTTTTGAGGTTTCAGGTTTCTGTTATAGATTTAGAATGAAATGCAGGTTAGCATATAATCAACTATCATAACAAACATGTCATGCATATTTTTATGCAATTAATTGTTGTAAACAGTGTTATTAAAATCACATTTTAGGACTGGAGCGAAGTAATGTTCTAGCATTGCGCATCGCTTGCCAAGCGCAAGCTTGTAGCAAAGTGCGCACGCATTGTCGTGTCATGTTGTAGCATTTGCATGGCTTTGGTTCATAATGAAATCCTCGTTCAAATTCTATTGTTGAGTTTAGCATCGGTTGGAATAATTAGGCATGAACATTTGCTTCTCATCATTTCTCGTATTCATTGATTTGTTGCTTATTAGTTCTTCATTTTGTCCTGTTGGAGCTATTCACTTCTTGATTGTTCTTCTTATTTCGCTCGCTTGCTATTATTCTTATACATCTTGTACTAGTTCTTGTTGTTGGTAACTTCTCACTCACAAGCTTCTTATCGAGAATGCTTCTGAATGCCTCATATTCACAATCTCTCGCTTCACACTACCTCTATGTCTTGATCTATAGCTATTCACTCAATCTCATAAGTATTCTTAGTTTTTATGTATTCTTTCATGGTTTTGTTATTTTAATATTTGATCTTTTTTTGGCTTTTGGATAATTATAAAATTTTGGTGCTGAATGTTGGCCATTAAAAGAGAAGCATATTGCTAAGTTAAGTGTGGCAGAGATGAGGATGCTCAGGTGGATGAGTGGCTTTACCCTTAGAGATAGAATACAAAATGAGCATATACGTGAAAAGGTTAGAGTAGCTCCAGTAGAAGATAAGATTAGAGAGAGTCGTCTTAGATGGTTTGGTCACATAAAACGGCGGCATTCCAATGACCCGGTTAGGAGAGTAGAGGTATTAGATTTGACTTATGTTAAGAAAGTTAGAGGCAGATCTAAAAAGACTTGGTTAGAAAATATTAGGAATGACATTTCTTTATTAGATTTAGATGAGAATTTGGCCTTTAATAGGACACATTGGAGAAAAAGGATTCATGTAGCCGACCCCACGTAGTGGGATAAAGGCTTGATGTTGTTGTTGGATAATTATAAAATTTATGCTATTTAATATATCATTATATTTGCTGGAAATTATTACTCAATGTGATTTAATCGATTAAATGACTATTGCATGTAAATTATGTATTCATAATATGATATATAAGTCATGAATGCTCTAGTTCATAAAAGTACAAATATTTGCACATTGAAATAAAAAAGGAACTATTATGGATTGCATTGTACTTGGTGCTTTAAAAAAATGGGGTAACAAATATGCAACTTTTTTTTGGAAAATAAGCTTATAATCTCAATATAATTATTTACTATTAATAGAAAAAGACAACAACAATAATAAGTCTTATCCCATTACATAGGATTGGCTGTATGAATCCTTTTTATCCATTATGTTTAATTAAGAGTTAAATTCTTATTTAAATTTAATTAAAAAAGATTATTTTTAATTTTTTCTAATCAAGCCTTTTTAGATGTACTTATATATTTTTTAACATAGGTTGGGTCTAATATATATACTCTCTTAACAGGGTCACGGAAGGTTGACATTTTATGTGAGGAAATCATTTAAGATGATTCTCTCTAATCTTATTAGCCATTGGAGCCACTCCAATCTTTTCACATGCATACCATTTTCATAAATCATCTCTTCGTTCTATAAGGAGAATCACCATTAACTAGCTCTAAATACTTCCATTTGCTTCTTTTTAAAATGCTTTAATTGGCTGTGCCATTGGAGACTTCATTTTCTTAGTTTTGCCATATGGATGCAGGAACAAGAGGCTTCTTTGTGCGTACAACCCTCCAAACAAAAACCACCATCTGATGTTAGAAAGCAAATCTTAGAGAAGGTTAGTGTCCCTGTTAACTATGCAAAACTATCTTTGGCTTCGTTTGGGGCGGCTTTTTTACTGCTTCTTGAAGTAACTTTTTAGTTAAAAATTTTAAATTTTTTACTAAAAAACTGCTTAAAAAAACAGTAAAAAAGTCATCCCAATAAAACATTTATGTTATTGAAATAACCTTCGCGTTGATCAGGGCACTACGAGGGTGGCGCCTTCACGGCAACTGCCAACACCAAATGAAGTGGCAATCTCAAAGGAGGTCAGATTTATGACATTTGTACCATTAGTTTCTTCTTTTGAACAATTGGTTTAGAATTTTGTCTTTGATGTGGCTTAGCTTGTTATATTAATATCTTTCATCAGGAGGAAGAAAAACTGGCTCTTGCAGCGGAGAGAGAGAAGAGAGCTGCGGCGGCAGAAAGGAGAATAGCAGCCATGAAGAATGTGGGCATTAGCAGTTCAGATACCAGAAGTTTAGCTAATGATCTCTTGTGCTCGTGCTGCAATGCTTCATTGTCGGGGAAGATACCATTCCACAGGTACCATTACAAATACTGTAGCACTTCTTGCATGCATGTTCATAGGGAGGTTCTTGAAGAAGATGGATAAACTTGAAATGCTTATCTTTATGTAACTTTGTATTTTCCTTATAAATGAATATGAAGGTTGGCCATAAATTGTAAATTTTTTGTTCAATTTTGATATGATAGAAATTCAAATGCAGGATATTGATAATAGCTTTCAAAATCTTTTTATGAACTAAGAAGTGTTTTAACTGTTCTAGATATGGATGATTAGAAACAACTATTTCTATTCTTTCCTTCTCTGCTTTCCTCCCCTTTTGGTTTAAAAAGAGCTACGAGAAAGAGCTGCAATGTCTGCCTAACCTTACAAAATAACAGCATGGAGTGTTTTGTCATAGATCGAGACTTAGGCTTCGTTTGGAACAGCTTTTTTCTTGCTTTTTAAAACATTTTCTTAGTACAAAAATTTATTGAATTTGAAATTTTTGTGCTAAAAAGCCGTTTTGAAAAACAGTACAAAAGCTATCCCTTAGGCTTCATTTGGGATGATTTTTTTTATTGCTTTTTAAAATAGAGTTTTAGTAGAAAAAATCGTCCCAAACGAAGCCTTAGGGTCTATTTGGATCAATTTTTTTACTATGCTTTGTAAACAGCATCCACCATCTTTATTTGGCTATTATTTTTTCATTGTTTTCGAAAAATTTCTGTGCTAAAAAACTGCTTTTGACAACAGTTTTAAAAAAGTTATTTTTATCACGATCACTTTTATAAAAACTGTAGTCATCTCAAATAAGCCTTTGAGGGGGATATTTTCTAACTGATATACAAATTAAACAATCATTAGTTGAGTGTATTTTGAGTGACCTTTATTTGAAATGCATGTGTTTTATTGACTGTAAAAGATTTTCAAAGGATCTTAAATGCATCATATAATTTATTTTTGATGAATTTGAAATTCGGCCAAACTGAATGAAACCCAAATTCATCTAGCCTGCTCGTGAAATCGCTGACTTGAGCATGTCACAGAGACCTTTGCATCGCCTGTGACATTTGATTTTATTTTCAGCTTACTCTTATGATCTCTTTTGTGTATGTATCAATCAAAACATTATAAATGTATTCCTAAGAAAAAAATATAAAAAAATTGCCATTATATATATGTTTCGTTTGGAATAGCTTTCTTATTGCAAGCTAATTTTTAATACAAAAATTTTTAATTCAAAAAAATTTTTGTATTAAAAAGTTAGTTTAAGAAGAAGTAAGAAAGTCATCCCAAATGAAAATCTAGTTTTCGTTTGGGACAGCTTTCTTACTATTTTTCAAAGTAAATTTTTAGTGCAAAAAAATAATTTTTTGTACTAAAAAATTATATAAAAAATTATTTTAAAAAGCAATAAGAAAGTCGTTCTAAATTAAGGTTTCGTTTGGTAGGATTTTTTTGTTGCTCCTTAAAAAAAAGTAATTAAAAAACTGTCCCAAATAAAATCTATGTCAAAGTCTATCTCAATTGAGCTCATTTAAAGCATGTGACCAAAGCAAATTGATTTCATTTTTGAGTTGATTAAAGTTTGAGCGATCATTAAAGAAAATTTCTTAGGTTAACATTTCTTATGAGTAAATAAGCGAGTTGATCAAAACATTATGCCCATCCGCTTTTCATGCTTTTTTAACGCAGTCTACCACGGGCTGATGGCCTTGGGGCTCGTTGACCTTTGCACTGATTGCAAACATTCAATCCACATATCAGAATTTATTGTAGTCGCAACTTGGTTAAATGTTATACACTATGTAGTGAGGATTGCAGTAATATAAAATATATAATGATTAACAATATAAATCAATTTATCCCCCGATGTTAATTAACCACCCATACCCACCAACAAGGTCATGGGCATATCCATACCAACCCATACCCATTGGGTATAGGTGAGTACTTGAGTGGGTGTGGATATGAGTTCCCAATGCAGAGCTCTAATTTACATACATGCTATTTATATTTCTAATATTCAAAATTTTATATTTTATGTCTATTATTAATAAGTAATTTTAATATTAAATATACATGGGCGGATCCCCATGTAGTTGAGGGGGGGCAAATGCCCCCCCTCAAATTTTTTTTTTTTAAATTTTAGTGAGATATTTTGAAATATTTTGAGTATTTTGGGTATTTTGCCCCCTCTCAAAAAATTTTTTTGCCCTCATTTAATCAATCCTAAGCATTTTTGCTCATCCCCCACAAAAAAAAAATTTTTTGCCCACCCTAAAAAAAGAAGCTGGATCCGCCCCTGTAAATATATAATTCCTATATTTCATTCCCATCATCTATATTATATTATACTATAAATTTTAATATTATAGGTTTAAATCTATATTTAATCTATAGATGATAGATATAAAATATTAAAATTTTACATATTGATTTAAAATGGTATTTATTTAAATCCTTTTAAAATGAACTAAGATCGAGTACTTCTCCTAAAATCCACACAAATACTATCTTCTAGCAACGTTCGATCCGTCGATTTCCTATAAATCTGCTCCTGTCCAATCGTTGTACCTTGATGACCGTAGCTCCGGTGACGATAAGCCCGAGGCGGCGGCTTCCAGTGCCGGAAGTGGAGCAGCCATGAGGATCATCGTACCACTCCAAGGTATCGTGCAAGGCAGAGGAGGCTTAATCCTTGGCTCTCTAATTCCTTGTGCACTCCTCTATTTCTTCCAGTTCTACCTCAAGCGCAACCGCTCCTCTCCACCTCCTGATTCGCCATCCGCCTCTACGGCTAATTTGCCGGAGTTAACCGGAATTCCAAGGAACTCTTCCCGCACTAGTCTTCCGACTCGAGGTTCTATTCGTCCCGCGCCGGTTTCATCGCGGGCTACGGCCATAGCTAGGGCCAGCGATTCAGCTTACTACACCGGGTGGAAGAAATGGTTGGAGGATCCGTACCATCCAACCTCTAATCCTGATGGAATCATTCAGCTTGGGTTGTCTGAGAACCATGTAATCTATTTGGCTTTATTATTTTTTTTAGTATCGTACGCATTTATTAGTTTTTTTTTTTAATCTTGGTCAGCTTTCCTTGGATCTTATCGAAGAATGGCTCGCAGCTAACCTACAGAAATCTTTGCTTGGTGAGAAGCGGGGAGATTTGAGCATTTGTGGCTTGGCTACCTATGAGCCCCTCGGTGGATTGATGGATTTGAAAATGGCAAGTAGCATGCTATGTTTCGAATTTCTATATTGTATTTTCAATCTAAAACTATATTCCATCTTCTGCTCATATTAATTCACAACACACCGTTGTCTTCATAAATATAGCATAAACCACTAGTTCAAGAACGTGCAATACCCATTTTGAAATTGTATAGTTTTAGGTATGGAGGGAACTTGTGCCATTAATCTTTTTTTATCTGCTTGCTTGATATCTAGGGATTCCCATGCGCTGATTGCACTTCAGATTTGTTATTAAGTGTCCAGATGATTAAGTATCAAGGATTTGCAAAAGGTTTTTAAATGGAACTCGTTCGGAAAAAACACTGGCTGAAACTGCTAGGGTTTTAGAGACCGAAACATATAATATAAAGCCTAAACACAAATTATGCAATATTTCAAATCTGAAGCATGTAATTTCCAGAGTTGCTTACTTAAGCGTGAGCTTTAATTCTTTGCAAGATTTAAAATAAAAGCTAATAGGGTTGCTCAAATCCTAGTACACGATTAGGATTGTATTAATTGAGATATAGGCTCTCAAGGTTTTTATTTTTGGTTGGCCAAAGTACATAAAGGTAAGATGTCAAATTTATAGCTGGTTGTTGAGGTCGTTTTTATCAAGAGGGAAAATGTTATGAACTTCTATACAAATTCCTTAACCTTCGTTTCTTAATTTCTATTTATGGTTTTCAATTTTCAAAATTTATATTATTAAGGAAAAAGTGTGATTATTTTGAAATTGAATTATTAGATAGGTGATGTTTGTTAATTCTTATTTATGTTTCTGAAAAAAAGGGCAACTTTAAAAAAATATAACCATGGATACACCCCATAACTTTAATAGTGTAATTTATTCAAATTATATTGTATTTCATATCCTAATGATGTAGCATATTAAATTCAGTAATTATAACCATTTGTGTTTGATAACTTTGAAGGATCCAAGTAGATGTGTTTTGTGAAACTTAACTAGCATGAATTATCAGTGATTTGTGCCTTTGCAACATTCATTGTGAAGTATGCCATGTTTACATTTTAAAGTTGGGCTGTTTAAATTTGAGCAAAATTATCTATAATGAATAGTGCATTATGGTGCAAGAGTCTTTTAGAGCTATAGAGGATGATGTTATTGCACATGGTATGGTGCACACTATTTTAAAAATAACACATCAGAAAGAAAAATTTATCAATACTTCAACAATCTAAGAATGTGTTGAAATTAATCCAATTCTATAATACAATCATATTATGATAGAAAATTGACTTAGGAACTATGTGCAACGTATTTTGGAATCTATAGGTTTTTTTATGGTTTTTCAAGAGGTTTGTAAGGTCTATGAACTTGAACCAATGCCACTCCCTATGCACTGGTGTTCGGGGTTAACGCAATGATGCCATTGGAAATTGAGCTACCGTCACTTCGGGTAGCTATTTAGCACGTTCTTCCCATGATTAGCATGCTCGACTGAGAATTGAAGAGCTCGATGCACTCAATGAAATCAGGCTCCAAGCTCAACAGAACTTTGAAATCTATCGAGCAAGGATAGGGCTATAAGTGAGCCGAGTCAGCTCGAACTCGACGCATTTATGGGCTCGCGAGTCGAGCTTATTGAACTCACGAGTCCAGCTCGAGTTCGAGCTTGATTTGGCTCGACTCGTGAACTTGCGAGCCAGCTCGAATTATTTTAAGATTTTTTTTAAAAATTAAATAACTATTATTTTTATTAAATTTAAATATTAAAATAATAAAACGCTACATTTATTTTTAAAAAAAAATCTATAGGTATAGTTTCCCATTTTTATTAGATTTCAATCTTTAATGGTTCCCAAAAAGTTGCATAAAGCACTAATTACTCCAGCACAATTATGTTTCCAAGAAAAGCTGTTGTCATGTCAAGTTAAATGCTTTATACAAGAAAGGATAAAAAATACAAGTTACTTTTTTTTTATCCACAGGAAAATGGCAGGTTATGCTTCCTTGTGCCGAGGATAAACCACTGCATTAGCACGTTGGCCAAAAAATCGGGCAGCAAACTGTGAATTGAGAGCGGGAAATCGAACGGAACGATTTGACTTGCAACTTGACGAGCAGCTCGATTGCTCGTTTATGTGTTGCGAGTCGAGCTCGAGCTCGACTTTTGAGCTCGACTCGAGTTCGAGCTCGAGTTTGAGCTCGATATTTGATAGACAAGTCGGGCTCAAACACCCTCCGACTCGAGCTCAACTTGACTCGTTTGCACCCCTAAGCAAGGATGACGAAGTCCTTTGATCAGATGGTGCGTCATCGAGCCTTTCAAGAAGAGGAATTGGTCTTGGTGTTAACTAAGCCAATCATCCCACACCAAAAAATCAGTGGCAAATTTATATCCAACTGTGAGGCCCCTTCATCATCGAGAAGGTGTACTAGGGAGGAGCTTTTCAACTTATAGGCCTGCATAGTCAGAGGCCTATGCTGCCGATCAGCGGTCAATACCTGAAGAAATACCACGCATAAGAGTCCCCTCTAGAAAATCTTGTACTTGAAAATTATGTATCTAACGTACTAGGTACTTCATGTATGCTCATCAACATATACACCGTATATTTTGAAATTCTCTTGTGTTATATGAATGCATTTCAAAAATTCATTAAAAATTTTTTCGCGAGATGGGGCACTTTAAAAATTTATTTGGGTTGGCATCACGCCGCATGCCAAAATAATCAAATAAATATTTAAAATCCCAAATTACAAAACTTATTTGATCCTCCCCATAAGGCATGAGATATTTTAAATATTTATTTTGATTGATATCATGCTACACGCCAATATCCCTAAATAAATATTTAAAATTATCAAAAACGAATATTCCTTCAAGTAGGAGGAAACAACAATTTCCTCTATCAACTTATATGCAGGTGATCTTCCAAGAATTCAGTACACCACCTTCTCCAATATTCCAAGGCTTCAAATGCCAAGAAAGAATATTTTCATGACTACACACTTCAACCAATCGAGCTAGAGCGGCACAAGTCCTTCAATAGCCTGAAGCTTAAAGTTTGAATGGGCATGTGGGCTCCGAAAATTCGGCCTCGGCCTCCACTCGCTTTTCTTATTCGGCGAGGGAGTTTTAACGAACTAAGTTCCGAGGTAAATTTTGGAAGGCAGATGGGTTTGTAGATAAGACACTACCCAGAGATTTCGCCCTCATTTTGTGAGGACTTTATGATCTGAGTTCTGGTTTCCTATAGGCGCAAGCCCCTATAGTTAATTACCCCTCCCGATAACGAGAATCGTAGTAGAGAAACCCCCATTTCGTCAACCCATAAGTAGGGACTGTAAGAAGCACGAAGGCTTATATGACTCGACAAGTTCAAATAGCCGTAGTCCACTAAATTCTCCTTCAAGTGGTGTGTCATGTCGACGCACGTGTTTCTTGAGTCCCTGGTTTTGTCCTTTTGCATGTGGTTTAATGTATAGGGTCAACAGACTGCGATTCTTTGACTTAGTTGCTTGGTCCAACGACTTCGTTGTATTACAATTACGGTATTAGCCCATATGTTTCCCAATGACTTTAAATCCTTGAGATATGAACCAATATGATATAATTAATAGGCACAAAGCCCTCTGCTTGCTAAGGTAGATTCAAATTTGTCCCCTTAGACAAATATTCACCCTATGTCTATAAGATTCCCTTAGACAGTGCAACCCATGGCATCCGACAAGGATCCTTCTGTCAGGTTGGGTCGATTACCTCCTCTAACTATGTAGACCAGGGACTATAATGATCTGTGATGACAGAACCATGGGATCTTTGATCGAGTCCATCATTATTCCCCCTACCATCTGCTTTAAGTGGAAGATGGTGAAATTTTCTATTTTAAATATTAAATCCCAAAACTAAACCCATACTTCTACCATACACCGTATACCACATATCTCTATGTATCTTTTTGACGACTAGCCTTAATCAGAAGTTCTCTCTCGCTATCGAGAGGGGTAATTAACTATAGGGGCTTGCGCCTATAGGAAACTTGAACTCATATCACAAAGTCCTCGCAAAATGATGGCAAAATCTTTGGGTAATACTTATTCAAAACCTAATTTGCCTTCTAAAAATTTACCTCATAACTTAAGTGTTAAAACTCTATTTGATGACCCGAAGAAAAAAAAAAGAAAGGGGTCTGCGGACAGGCTGGGGGGGCGAAATTTTTAGACCCCACATCTTTCTTTAGGAAGAATAATTTTCTTCTCTTGAGTTCATTGTGAATCTTGCATTCACCCTGTTCAAAATACTTAACTTATTCTATTCAAAATGTAGATCCTCCACTCTCATCTATTGCTACATAATCAAATGGAAAATTTTTCCGTTCAATATCCAATCTTCAGTCATTCATGATGGTATTATTGTGCTTCAAATATAAATCAAGGAATATACAGGATTAAATGGCTGACGGATCTCAAATAAAAAGTTTGTTGTTTATCTGTGCTTTCAAAGATAAATACCTAATTTATACAGCTATTTCTCATGTATCTTGAATCGTCCGTTAAAGCTAGATGCACAACAAATAGAAAACCTCATAAAATCATATATTGAACGAGTTAATGATGAATTGATGATGAGAGGATGTAATCTTTTATTCTCAATAAATATTTAAAAAGCAAGGGGCAAAGTCAACAGTTTAACCCCTTACAATAACAATAACATACTATAATAACAACATCATCAGGCCTTTAACCCACTGTGTGGGGTCAGCTACATAAATCTGATTTCTCCTTTGCGTTATGTTAAGAATTAAATTCTCATTTAAATCTAATAAAAAAATATCATTTTTAATATTTTCTAACCAAGTCTTTTTAGATATACCTCTACTTTTCTTAACATAGGTCAAATCTAATACATCTATTCTCATAACCGGGTCATCAAAGGCTGATGTTTTATTTGACCAAACCATCTAAGACAAATCTCTCTAATCTTATATGCCACTGGAGCTACTCCAACCTTTTCACATATATACTCGTTTCACATTCTGTCTCTAAGAGTGAAGCCACTCATACATCTGAACATCCTCATCTCTGTAATATTTAACTTAATTTTATGCTTCTCTTTTATAGACCAACATTCTATGTCATAAAGCATTACAGGTCTCACCACCATTATAAAATTTTCCCTTAAATATGAGGGGTACTTTTCTATCACTCAACAGGCCCAATGCTTTCCTCCACTTCAACCATCTAACTAGAATTTTACTAATAACATCCCCATCTATTTCACTATCACTTTGAACAATAGACCCAAGATATCTAAAACATGTATTCTTATTAATGACTTGATTGCTCAAAGTGAGAATTCTCCCATTAGATCTATTACTAATAAAATTACACTCCATGTATTCAGTTTTATATCTATTCAAATGAAAACTTTTAGACTCTAATGTTGACCTCCATAATTCAAAGTCAAAGCTGGATTTTAAGATTTGACAGTTTAACCCCTCGTCAAATCTAAATTTTAACTTTGTGAATTTATAGTTACTTATTGTTTATGGTATTCAGATGGTTAGGAGGTATAATTATTGAACAGTATAAAGCTAATTAAAACAAATTAAAATATATGAATTGAATTTAACAATTCCCTGGCTACATTTTCAATGCCTTAAAACATATGCCAAAAGTGAAGTTAAGAATAAAAATAGAATACTATGCCAAAAATTCTACCTTTATTCGAAAAGGTTTAAATTTTGTAAATTGGTTATAACTGGGGTGCATCTTTAAGTTGCTCATAGCCATAAATAGTTGTAAAATTTTAGATGTGAACTTGAGTGAAATTTTGTTCCTATAAAAGTACATACAATGCAATATATTTTACCTTTATTCAAATGGACTCAAAGTTCACAAATTCATCTTATAACCAGGAATGCATCTTTAAGTAGCCAAATTTTCATTCAAAATTCATCATCCCTCAATACAAGAAAGTTAGCCTATAAATAGGCCTCATGTAAAGAAAAATAACAAAGACTAAAATGCCCTTAAGGCTACAACACTACATGACCACCCATAAGGGTAAAAAGGGGAAAACAACAATATAAAATAAACTATACAAAAACATATAAATAAATAACTAAAAAAATCGTAGCCGTTGATCTCCGATGTCGTCATCACTGCTAGATGATGACTTGGCTCTATTCTACTCTAGTAGTATTTTTTGCATATATTTTAATCATCTCACCTTTGGTCTATCTCTCGTTTCTTTTTTACCACACCACATTGATTCTATTGATTCATCTGCTGCCTTTTGCATTTAGATTCCATAAAGAACTAAACAATTAGACGAAATTGTGTCCAATATTTGGTGATAGATGCACCAAACTTGAGGTATAGATATGTTTTATTCATTATATGTAGAATTGAAGTTTTTTTTTTCCATTATATGTAGAGTTGAAGTTTAATCTTCTCAAGCTTCAAAGCTAGCTCCTTTTACTTCTTAGTTTTCACACAACTTCAAACACATCTAAAAGCTTCAAATCATTTTACATGAGCTTTTACTTCAATTCGAAAAAAAAAAAAGTGTCATAGTGACTTTTCGAAAACATTGTGTTATGTTTGATCAGATGGTTCTAAGTGAAGAAACTGGCATCATAAGGGAATAAACTTTCCTTTTATATTTTATCCTGTATGATAGGTTTAAAAGTTATGTTTATTTGTATACATAGAAATATAGTTACATATCCACATAGACAAAGACATTCACACATGTTTTGTGCATTAATATCCCCATAGGCACGCGCAGGAGTATATGCCTGGACCAGAATCCATGTGCTTGTCTCCAAGCTTTAGGCATGCATGTTTGTGTTTCGTATGCTAATACAAGTGTGTTTGTGGGCAGATGTGCTTTTGCATGCATGGGTGTTTGTTTGTGTGTATGTTCATACACGCTTTGCTTGTATCACGAAGAATGTTCTACTTTAAAACTTCATCTTGAATTTTGTTAGGCCGGCCCAGGGGCCGGTTGAACTGGTTCATCCTGAACCGGTACACTGTTACAAACTGCAAACCAAGGGGGCAGGCAAAACAAGGAAGAAGAGAGAGGGGGCGGCTGGAGCTATGGGACCCACTTCTTAATTAAATTTTGGGAGGGAAATTTGAATTAAGGGCTGTTTAGGAAATTTGTAATTGTCCTCTTTGCTTTAATTAGTCACTTTGGTTAGGGTTAGGTTTTCATCTTGAATTGAAAATCTGAATTTGTGATCTTCTTTGGTGCTTGGGCTCTAGTCTCTTGGCTAGAGATTTGGAGAGTTGTTTCCTCCTCGAATTGAAGAAATTTGTATCATGTGCTGTTTTTCTCTTTCTACTTGTGGAATCCAAGTGTTTTCTCTCTAATTTCATCACTTTTATCAAGTTTTCTGCTGCATTGTTGCTGTTTTTCTGCTGTAAACAGCAGTTTTTCTGCTTGTGGATGCTTATTTCCTATCAAATTTTTTGCCTATTAAAGTATCTTTTGCTGTATCAGGTAATGGCTGGATTCATGAGTAAAATCATGCGAGGATCTGTTTCATTTAATCCAGCCCAGATCATACTAACAGCTGGTGCAACTCCTGCAATTGAGGCACTTAGCTTCTGTCTTGCAGATCCAGGAAATGCATTCCTTGTTCCTTCCCCGTATTATCCAGGGTGATTTTCTCTTACCTTACAGAGAATTTCTTTTCTTTCTAAAAAACTTCAAATTCATCTAATGGCGTTACATTTTCTAGATTTGATCGGGATATAAAATTACGAACAGGCATTGAGCTAATACCAGTTCACTGTCGAAGCTCAAACAACTTCAGTTTAAGTATAGCTGCACTTGAAAGGGAATACAAACAAGCAAAAAAGAGAGGAATAAAAGTTCGTGCTGTTCTTTTAAGTAACCCTTCGAATCCTGTAGGCAATATATTGCATCGGGAAACACTATATGATCTCCTAAGCTTTGTTACAGATAAAAACCTCCATCTTATTTCAGATGAAGTATATGCTGGTTCAACCTATGGGACTGAGGAATTTGTGAGCATAGCTGAACTTCTGGATACAGGGGTTTTTGACAACAGCAGGGTTCATATAATATACGGACTGTCCAAAGATCTTTCTCTTCCAGGATTTAGGGTGGGAGCCATCTATTCCTATAATGAAAATGTCATCGCAGCTGCGTCAAAGCTAACAAGGTTCTCTTCCATTTCACTTCCCACTCAACACCTGCTTGTTTCAATGCTTTCAGATACTAAATTCGTAGAGGAATATTTGAAAGTAAATAGGGAGAGACTTGCGCAAATGCATGCACTTTTTGTTGAGGGACTAAAGCAGCTCGGCGTTGAGTGTTTCAAGAGTAGCGGGGGATTTTACTGTTGGGTAGACATGAGTAAGTTCCTAAAGTCCTACAGTGTAAAAGGCGAGCTTGAACTTTGGGAAAATATTCTGAATGTGGCCAAGGTCGTTCTCACACCGGGAGCTTCATGTCACTGTATTGAACCTGGGTGGTTTAGGTGCTGCTTTACTACAGTGACTGAAAGGGATGTTCCTTTGGTTATGAACCGAATTAGTAAAGTTCTGAAAGACCATAAAGCTACTCATTGAAATAACAAGCTACATTTAAGATACATTCATTGATAAGGGTAGACACTAACAAAGTAGGCTTTGAGTAGGCCTTTTTACGGAGAAATTATTCTGTGCGGAATCCGAACATGTTCGGAAGCGAATCCGGACGCGCCACGTCACCGGATGCACCGGCCCCCGGTGATGTGGCATGTCCGGATTCGCCTCCAAACACGTTCCACACAGAATAATCTTCCCAAGGTACAATGTTACCATTCACATCAAAGTACCCTGTCACAGACCACAGGGCTATATGCGACTGCAGCCTTACTTTTGATGAACAAATTGCTTTTTCTGGACATTTGTTCCGAATGAAAAGCATGCAAAGAGGCCCCTCCTGATGAGTTCCTGCAATATAATAATTTTTTATCGTTAGGAAATTTATTGTGTTCAGTTTGATGGATCCAGAATCATGGGGGTTCTCTTTATAAAGACTTGAATGCTCGTGGAAATATAGTTTTCTATTTCTGGCATATGAAGATGAGAACTGGCATTTTATTAGATATGTTTAAAAGGTTTGAGCAAATCTTTCTGAGTTGAACTGGTTTCATTAATTGTGTCTAAAATCTAATCCACCCAGTTGATATTTTGGTCGCCTGAAGGTTTTGCTAGTGCCCATGCTAAATAACTATAGGGTGAGTTATAGAAGATTATATTCTTGATTCCTCTGCACATGTTCTGCAAGCTTCAAAAACTATTCATCATCATCTAACCATTGAACATTACCCGGGTAGTCGTTAAATAATGGTTGTCATGCTCTTTACTACCATTGTATACTTGAGTATCTTTTTAGGGATTAATTGTTCTGTGCGGATTCCGAACGTCGTCCGAAGACCAATCAGAATGCGTCACGTTATCCCTTTGTTGTGTTCTGCGGCTCGGTACCGCTGATGTGACTGCACCTGATTTGCCTCCGAATGTAGAGCTGTGTTCTTGCTCTGCATAGAATAATTTCTCTTTTTTATGGGTGTTTTTGTACATATCATAAATTTTTTATCCATTTATATATCTAATGTTTAAATCTTTATATTTATTTATATATCATTTTAATATTCAAATCACATTAAAATTTATGCATGAAAATGAGTGTTTTATTTTAAATAAATTAGTATAAATGATAGTTTTAATGTGATTTAGAAATTTAAGTATTATTTAAATAAATATAAATATTTATGTGTTAGATATATAAATACCTAAGAATTTTACTGTGTATATTATTTATTTTAATACTTTGATTTATGATAAATTATTAGGTGCGGACATCAGACGAAGAGAATCGTTCGTTTTTTTTTTGTCTACAGTAAAAGTGCAATCAAAGTACAGTTATTATAGCAGTTGCGTTTTGACTATGCTTTGATTGCAGACAGAGAGAAAATCGGACGATTCTTTCTGTCCGATGTCCGCACCTAATAATTTGTCCTGATGGTAGCTGTGTTTTAATTGGGTGAAAAGAAAATTTCGTGCAAGGCAGGCTTCACCATTGAGAATAATCTTTGTTCTCCGACATATACAGCATTTTTTGGGCAGCTCAGCCTGCGGCTCAGCAGAATGAGCTCCCCAAGAGTCAATGTTCTCTTCACCAGGTGACTGCGGTTTGTGTTACAGCTCTTCACTTCCAATTCTGCTAAAACCGAACGATTAGCAGAATTACGCTCATAGAATCCACAGAAAACTTGCTTTAGAAATATGTTGTAGGCAAAGGAAATCCAGGAAGGAGTTATCTTTATCTCACCGTTATCCATTGCTGAGCTTCTCGAGTCACTTTGACAATCTCTTCCAGAAACAGAGTACCAGCTCTCGGTTTGGTTGGAGTCACTCTCATTCGAACTTCCATGAAAAGCAAAACCATCGAAGACATTTTCGGCCTCATTAATGAAGGGATTGCAGGAGGGAAATGGTGCTGGAAGAACGGCAGAGCCAGGGTTCTTATCCATTAGTAATGGCTTCCCAGGCTTCTCCTCCCACTGGAAAGGAACTGAGATAACAAGGCTGAGTGGTATAATGGCTGTTTCACTTGAAGATACTGGCTTTGCTTTAGAAAATTTTGTTGCAAAGAAAGGGATTGGCTTTGCATTCCAATCTGTCTTTGGCATGCCTGGCTTCTGTTCCCAAAGGAATGGAACTGAAATTGGTTGGCTTCCATAGCGTCGTTGATGAGAACTTGAGATGAAGTTTTCATATCCCATCGTTCAGTTATGGTGGTCAGTAGCTTTTCAATGAATGTGTTTCCATTGGAAGCGGCATTAGCTATATGTAGGAGAGAGTGTGTGGATTAGGAGAAAGGGGATAAGCTGCTCCTGTTACAGGTTGTTATGGTTCAACCACTTTTCCTTTCAGTAGTGATAGAAGAAGGCCTTCGGCATCTTTTGCTTGAACAAATTCTCATTGCCCAAATAAATAACCTTAGTAGATCTTTGCAAACATTTTTTTAATTGATTAGGTAGAAGGGGAAATGATCGATTTTTTATTTATTCTTTGATATTGGAGGTTTATACACATCGAAGTACTCTCCATTAAGTGGAAAAACTTGTGTATTATTTGATTTATAAAATTATTTGTTGGGGTGGTATGCTAGAGCATAGCCTAAGTCTAATATACTAATGATTTGACTCATTTGCTTTTTTTTTTTTTTTTTTTTATAAAATCGGTGGAGGGACTTACGCGTAGAATAAAAGGGGAATTACGAGGTCTTAAAGATCCATAAGCTTATCTAAAAATACAGCCTTTAAAATAAACCTAAGAGCTATTGGATCTACAAATTACAATTAAAAAAGAGAATAAACAAAAAACCAAAGCCTGCCGAAGGACCCCGAAACAACCAAAAGGATAGCAATCTGCATCCATCAAATCCAAGGATATCCACAGCAAGCAGGAAACACACCATAAGCTCAGCCGTCAAAATGCCATCCAAATCCGAATGTCACCACATCAGCAACATGCACTTCCACATAGCCCAACACTCCGAGGCCAAATTGAGCACGCTCGTTTAAAGCTTCATAATCATAAAATGAATCAAATTCAAGACCTGAATACTATCATAAGAGCTTGAGCTAAGCTTAAGTAGCCTCTGGCTTGGCCCAATTCGGTTGCAGCCCTAACCCCAGTACAAGGTTCGGTACATTAATTTATTATATGCAACAGGAAAGAGGAGAAATAACTGAATTTTGAATCATTGATAACGATATTCTAAAAAAAGAAAGTCGCAAACAATGCCGACGACAATGTTAACAATATTTCACTTCAGATCGAAGACAGTACTGCTTGAAAGTTGTTTGCTTTCTCTCACCAACTCAATAACAGATTTCACCAAGATTCGGATTGCTTGGGGTTGATTGAGACGAGGAGCAACCTCGGTCATGTTTTGCTTCTTTGTCGGAGCATCTACAATAAAATAATATATATTTATCGAAAATTTTAATTAATTATTACAGATATTTTATCTGTTTGTTTATAATTAATATTGTTTATTTATTTATTTATTTTTTATATCCCGGAAAGTCTTATTTGGATGTTTTTTTGTCCTTGGAACCATTTTTTTCAATATTTCAAACTCAATTTTGATATTTTCGGAACCCATCGGATCCTATACAATCCATTTCAAGTAACTTAATATATTTTGGAGCATAATTTTTTTTTTTTGAATTTTTTGCTTTGATTAGCATTGGCGAAATGCTAAAATTATAAATATATTTTTAACACTGGAAGATTCAGACTTCTAAAAATAGGGTGACAACTGATATGTCATTGAAAATCGACTTGATGCAGCACAAGGCTAGAGACATATTCATGTCGGAAACTTTTAAAATTAAATTTGAGGCCATCTGAACTCAAATTTCAACAAACTTATAATCAAACTGAACATCTCGAAACGACGAACCCAACGACACAAAAATTCGTTCAATCCGAGCCCAAATGGGTTTGAATTAAGAGTGAAGCGTATTTGAAAGGTTCAAAACATTAATTGGATGATAAAATGATATCAAAATATGGCATGCTTATAATCAAATCGAGCGGCTCAATGAGACGAATCCAATGAGCCCAAGATCGCTAAATTTCAACATTGTTAAGGCACTTAAACACTTAAAAAATGCTCTATGATTAGGGGAATCAATATGGGCCATTCGATGGAACATTTCGAACCTATTTTGGATCTTCTCCATATTTACGGGTTGTGCTATACTCACAAAAATCTATAAATAGATCCTCACACTCTACATGAGAGGGAATCGTTTGGTTGGGGATTGGAGAGAGCTATGAGGCTTCAAGAGCTTCAGCACTACCACCAGCGAATCTCCATCGATCGTCGCGGAACCATCGCCTGGCCACTCTCTCCGGCAGAATTTTCACCCAACCATTGTTGGACCATCACCAGGCCATTGACTGTCACCAAAATTCTTCCAGACCGTCGTTGGAATTCCCCACGTCCATCGCATGACTACCATCAGGTCGTCGAGCGCTATCAAACTTCCACTCAGCCTCCGACCACTATCGGCCTTCCACCACTACTGACCTTCCACCCAACCATTGTCGAACCACTGCCCGACTGTCGTCCACAGTCGGACTTCCACCTGACCACTGATTTCCTCCAAACTTTTGCCCTACCATCATTGGACCACCGCCTGACTGCTATCAACCGTCCGATTGTCGTCGGACTTCCACTTGACCATTGTCACACCATCGATCAACCGTTGACTATAGTCCCTTCGACCACCATTGCTCAAAGACCACCGTTGCTCAAAGACCACCGTCATCACCGATTACGATCCTTCCTATCACTATCGCCTGCCGATTATAATCCCTCCAACCTCTCACCGCCTGTTAATTGCGATCCCTCTGACCACCATTGCTTGACTACACTCCTTCTAGCTAATTGAACATGCATACACTCTCCTGAAAATAATTTTCATATAACTAGATTCTTCCAACAACCACCATGTAATGTGCTCTATATGATATATATTTACCACTTCAAACCAACGCCTTGCCCCATGGAAGGTCATCATTTGTAATCAACAATAAACACTAGTGTAACCATTTTAGTTGAGTTAGACTCCGTGCTTTTTCCCATTTTCAAGATTTTTCACGTAAAACACTTGGTGTATATTTTGACTCTTGCACCCCTCTCCTTTTATTTGTGTGTGTGGTGAATCTTCGTTCAAAACTATGATATTAAGCTCTTTCTCTCTACCGCACAAATGTTCCATGACATATATATATAGAAAGCGCATGAAAAGCGCATGGAAAGCGCACAAAAAGCGCACGGAAAGCGCATGAAAAGCGCACAGAAAGTGCACCGCGGCTAACATGACTCAATTCAGCTCAATTGAATGCATTCGAGGGCACTCGAACAAAAATCGAGGTCAACAACTGGCACCACATTAAGCAATTACTAAGAGGCCATTTCCTCCCAACATATTTTGAACAAATGCTGTATATGCAGTACCAACACTGTTCGCAAGGCTCTAGATCGGTAAACGATTGCACGGAGGAGTTTTATCGATTGAGCACGCAAAATAACCTCAATGAATCTGATAATCAATTGGTCGCAAGGTACATTGGAGAATTGAAAGAAGCAAAATTCAGGATCGACTTGAATTAAACTCGGTTTGGTCGTTGTCTCAAGCTGTGAATTATGCTCTTAAGGTGGAAACCCAGTTGCAACGACAAGCCCATAATCGACCGAACAGGAGAAACTTTGAGTCTCATCACTCATCGGAAGTAGGCAAGCAGGGTTCCCCGAACAAATAATCTCTAAATATGACATGATTATAAATGAATTGAATGGATTGATGAGACAAATCCAACGATCCCAAGTTTGCTTAATTATGATATCATTAAGGCATTTAAATTGTTGAATGAACACTCTATGATTGAGGGGCTGAATGGGTTGTTCGATAGAGTGCTACGAATTTGTTCTAGATCTTCTTTATATTTACAGAGCATGCTACTCTCAAAATTCAATAATAAACCACCACTCTCTAAATGAGAGCGACCTTTGGAGGCTTATACCTTGGGTTAAAAAGCTTTAAAGCTTAAAGAATCTTGGAGGTCCACCTATGTACCACCATCGATGGACCCTCACTGTCAGGTCGCCACCGCCATACTTTTACTAATTGATCATTGTCAGACGTCCACCTAGCCATCGTCCCAGGACCTTAACTTGGTCATCATAGTTGGACCTCTGCCTGACTATCACTACCCGATCGTCATCGTCAGACATTTGTCGTGTCGTTGACCACGATCCTCAAACCACAATTTCCCGATCACGACCCTTCCAACCTCTATTATCTGCCTACTACGGTCCTTAAACCACTGTCACATGAGTATGATCCTTAGACCACGTTTGATAAACTACAGTTCCATCCACTTCAATTGCCCGACTAAGATCCCTTTGACCTAAGTCGCACGTCTACAATTCTTTTGGGATCCATCGCCTATCAACTCTGGTCCTTTCGACTTCCGTCGACAATCGACTATGGTCCATCGAACCACCGTCATCCAACTACTGTCATTTGACCTTAGTCACCTGATTGCTATCCTTCAACCTCAGTCGCCCAACTACGGTCCTTTGACCTTAATTATTGATTATGATCCTTCAAACCTCACATCCATCTCCGGCAGACTATAGTCATTCCGACCTCCTCTGTTTATCGACTATCATCCCTCTATCCACCATCACTCGATTATGATTCTTTGAGCTCGATCAGTCACCCAACTATAGTACTTCTGACATCCGTCGCACGATGACTATGATACTTTTCAACCTTTATCGCTTGATTATGGTCTTTTGGCCACAGTCGTTTGACTATGGTCCTTCAAACCTTCGTTGTGCATTGATTACCGTTCTTTTGACTTTTGTCATCCACTAACTATAGTACTTCTATCTTTCATCGCCCTCCGACTACAATCCCTTTAAACTTCGTCACCTAATAATGGTCCCTCTGACATCTATCTCTCGACTACATTCCCTCCGATCATCATCGTCCAACTATGGTCCTTCTAACCTCAGTCGCTCATGGACTACACTCCCTCTAACCTCCCTCGCCCAATTATGATCCTTCAAACTTCCATTGCCCGCCAACTACGATCCTACCAACAGCATTTCTCGAGTACGATCCCTCCGACCACCATCGTCTGACTATAGTCCATCTGACCTCTGTTTCCCAACTAAAGTTCCTTTGGCCTCAGTCTCGAGTCTACAATCCCTTCGATCATCGTCGTCCAACTATGGTTCTTCCGACCAAACAAACATGCCAATATTATCTTGAGAATAACTTTCATGTCAATGGATTATTCCAGCAAGCAACCGGGTGGCTTCCGGAGAAGATCATGGCCTTGAAGCTCTGTGGACGGAGCACCGTCAACTAGAGAGAAGAACCGAGGATATCGCCAACAGTCTGGATTGCTTATTTGGAGAAATGCGCCGAGAATTGAGGTTGATTAATGCTTGTCTAGATCGGAATATACATGCTCGAACGGTAGCTCC